CTGAATTTGTTGGGGTGCTCCCGTGCTCCCCTGACAAGGCAGATGATTAGCGCTATTGAAGCAGGGGTTGGCTGGGCAGATGATTGAAGACCTCTCACTTCACAGGTAAGAAGGGGAGATAAAGGGCTTTCTCAGGCAGAAGCAGCAGTCTGGGAGAAATCCCCAGTTAGGAGAGGAAGTAGCGGATTTGTATGTCCTGGCCCTTAGCAGAGACCAACGTAATGAGGCATGTGAGGTATTCTTAAAATATTTGTTGAAAAAAAAAAAAAACCTATCTTTCCCATGATAAGATCTTGGTTAATTAAACTTTTGCTGTTTATACAGTTTTTCTTTTTCATACCTGGTCTTTTGCTCTGATACATAACATACTTTATAATAGTATCATTATGAGTTTTCTCATGTTATCTGTAAGAGTTGATTGTAAAAGCTGAAAACCTTTCAAACTCATAAATTTTTATAGTTTTTCATATATTGGTGTTAAAAACCAGTTTATAGCAAGTACTTTAAAGTAATTGCATGACTTTCCTCAACTGCACAATGAACTTCAGTAGGTTGATTTTCAAGGCTCATGCAGAGTTAGTTCTCTCTTTAAAGTCCCAGTGAGCCTGCGGCCAGCTGCTCCTGGCCAGCTGCATACATCTAAATTCATTTACTGTCCACTGCCATCTAGTGTCTTGTGAGAAAAATAACTCAGTGGAAAGCCTAAATAATAGACTTTTAAAGAATTTCTAAAACTTAACTGATTGCGAATTGAACCTTTAATACAAGAAATGAAGTTTCCTAATAAAGTGGTCTTTGAATTGTTTATGGGAAGGAAGATCAGAATGATGTCTACAACCTGACCTATCTATTTAATTGACGTCAATGAACCAGATTTTCCCATTTCATCAAAAAATCATGTTTTTTCAATAAATTCTGAGTCTTTTCTAGTGTTCATTTTCCACCAAATCTTTTTCTGCTAATTTGCTTTTTTGTAATTTGAATGTTTTCTTATGGCTTCATTGAGTCAGCCTACTGGTTATGACGATTGTTACCAATCTTGCCTACTTTCCATTACCTAACCTTAGAAATAAATATTAAAAATTGCTGTTATTCCAGAAATATTGGCTCGTCATAATGGTTTTCTTTGAAAAATTGAAGAAGCTAATTTGTCCCCTCCGCACCCCATGGCCGGTCTCTTTGACGGTCTTCAGCAGTGGAGGACTAACAGTCAGTCAGCCCCTGTGAGAACCCTCAGAGGAGAGAAAGACCAACAGCAGGACTGGTCAAGTTGCATGTTCTGAATGCTGGTGATTTTTTTTTTTCCTCTGGAAAGAGTAGAGGTGGTTGAGGTTTGAAACTTTGGAAGTTTTCCTTGTTTTTAGTTGTTTTTATCTCTAGCCCCCCTAAAATATGTTTGTGCTAATAAAAGCTTTCATAGATGATACAGTGTGAGAGCAGGAATTAATTTTAGAGACTCAGTTCAACGTGGCATTTTTATACATAAATGATGTAAGTACATGCATAGTAGTCTTAATACATTCTAAAATACTGTGTGGTGATGTTTGATAAAAAGCAGTTTCCATTCACCCTCCTATAAAATAGTCTGTTTTTTATCTTAATAATCTGGACATCCCAGGAAAAATCCTTATGTCAAAAATCATGTTTTTTTTAAATAAATTTACTCTGATGAATCCCTGAACTCTACCTCAGAAAATAGTAATACACTATATGTTAATTAACTGAATTTAAATAAATACAAAAAAATAAAAATAAAGCTACTATTTCCTTTGTAAGTTTCCCTAGTACTTACTTACACCCATTATAGGTTAATTCAGTAATGCAGCCCCTTTGCCAATGAAAGATGCAAAGTATATCATATCAAATCAACTATGATTACTTTGAAACATTAAGAACTGAAGCAAGACTTGCCTTGTCAGGTCACAGAATGTACGACAAGTTTATAGTCACTCAGGCAGTGTGGTGGACAGATCGACTGACCGGTACAGCACTGAGAATTCGGAAACACCCAAGTGTTCTCAGAGTTTGAGTATGTGGCGACGGTGGTAGCTTAGCCACGAAGGAGGGACTGTTCAGTGCACAGCTGTCCATCTGATGATTTCCGGAGAGTAGATAAAGGTGGGCTGAATGACTCTTCCCCATCCCTTGAGCACATGTAAAATCCAGCCTCTAATTTAGAGGTTTGTTACTGATATTTTCCACTTGCGATAATCGTGCTGCTGAGTGCGGTCAGCGGCAAAGGTCATGACCGACAGCGCATGCTATGGCTGAACATGGGATTCAGACCAGCGGCTGATCTTCATCGGAAATGGATGTTACATGGTGAACCTTTGCACAGGGAATTGTATGGAGAAAAACACAGAAACAAACGAATGGGAAGGCACTGATGCAGAGGGAGAAGGTGAAACCACGTCAGAAAGAGGGGTCAGTCCTGGGTCGGTCCTCATTTTCCCTTCCCGCCTGGGCGTTTGGCCTTCATCTGATGATTTTTCAGTACTCTTAGCACTCGCCTCTGGCCGTCATTTGGAAGCATTTCTATTTGATAAATACGAAAAAAAATCATAAGGTAATCAAAAGATAAAGTTTCCACAGTAAAGGATTATTTAATTTTTTGGTAACTATTATCTACAAGTTTTTCAGATTCAATCAACCAGTTGAAAGATTTCTAAACCTTTTATTGTCAGCAAGCTTAATACATAGAATAGCTTTCCATATACCCTTGGTGCAGTGTTTGCTACGTGTTTCTCATGCCTCGATAGAAACCCTACATAGAAGGGATAAATAAATATTTTATAATATTACAGATATGACCTTTTAATAATATAGGATTATATTAGCTATTCTTAGGTTATTGACTTTTGAAGGTTAATTATAACTTGTAGATATTATTAAATCTAGCCCTAAAGGGCATATAGCAAAGTCATCCAAAAGAGATGTCTGTTGTAGATCTTCAAACAACAAACAAAGCCAAAGACTATTTAAAAAAAAAAAAAAAAAAAATTCAGGGCGTCTGGGTGGTTCAGTCTGTTAAGCATCTGCCTCCAGCTCACATCATGATCCCAAGGTCCTAGGATCGAGCCCCACATCGGGCTCTTCCCTCAGCGGGGAATCTGATTCTCCCTCTCGCTCTGCTGCTCCCCTGCTTGTGCCTGCTCTCTCTGTCAGATAAATAAAATCCTTAAAAAAAAAAAAAAAATCCAAAGCTGCTGCTGAGAGCTTGCCCCAGAGTTTACCTTCTGTCACGGTCCTGGGAAGCTCTGTGGGAGGGAGGCAAACCCCTCAGTTGTGCTCAAGCTCATTTCCTACATTCCGTCTTTGGTAAAGAAAGCATCTTTCTTGTGATTAACTTTCTCAGAGTTTGAGAAAATCATTATCATTTCTGATTTTTCTTGAGGCTAAATATACCACATCCTTTATAGTGTTTTTCTTGCAGTCGTTCCTTCTTCCTGTTCTGGAACAACTCTTCTGCTCTTCCCTCATTCCTAAGAGAGGGTGGCTCACTGACTTTTACTGTGGCGGGGACAGACACTACATCTAATCCAAGTCTCTATTTCATCTACGCCATACGCGTATTGGTGTGTAGTGGAACTACGGTAACTCTAAAACTGGTGACGTGAATTCTAGGCTCTTTGAAAATGAATAGAGTGAAATTTTCCTTTGCTGTCTTCTATGTAGTTACATTTTAAAGATCTTTTTAAAGCAGAATAAACATTTTTAACTTAATCTCTTAAAAAGAATCTTTAAAATGTATTTCCCATGGGCATTGATTGTACTTAATTACAAATGCTGTGTAAGCGTAGTCCCAACTAATATAGATATATGTGTGAATAAAATATTTTGAACTTAGCTTCGAATCTAAGTAATGATGATTTATTTAAAGCAGCTGGGGGTGCACCTATGCTCTGCTTCCCTCCCATCTCCCCACTCCCAGCTGACTGAAGGACCTCCTTCCTAGGCTTTTTACTCTACTGTGATAGGAAGATTTTTTAGGAAGAAAGGGTACACTGACATTATAGAGCTTGAAAACCATGCATCTATTAAGTGTATAACTATATCCAACTCAGTGCTTTCAGCTAGAATTTGCTTAGTAATAGCAAGTATTAGTAGGAACACAGCTTAAGAGGATTATCTAATCTTACTGCCTCAGAGGTCTTCAGACTTTAACTTACAGCAGTCCAATTTAAGATTAAAGTGCTGGGAGAATTTACCTGAGCTTTAATATTTTTCAAATCAAGTAGCTAGTCATAATACAGTTATGCTAAAATATTGTCCCCAATCTCTAGGTGATTTGTTTTGATTAGCAATTCTTACTTAGTAGAAATTTATTTAAAATATTGGATTTAGTCAAAATAACTGATCATATTTTTAAAAAACACTTAGTCTTAAAATAGTTTCAGGATTTTACCTTCTCTACCTAATCATTGGAAAGGGAAACATGTACCCAGCTTTGTACAAAATACTTTAGATTTTTGCTATTACTAAGCAATAAATTTGCTTAGTAATAGCAAGTATTGGTAGGAAAATGTATAGCTTAAGAGGATTATTGAATCTTAAAAAGATTTTTAATGAAAATGAAAAATATAACGAAATTAATTTGACTTGTAGTCCCTGATCCCGTCTCCAGATTTGTAAGTCCAGCCTCTAGGGGAGGTTGGGAGGTTGGGCCTGATTTCTGTTTCTCGACAGGACCTTGACTCCAAGGACAACTTTTTTTTTTTTTTTCCATTTTATTGTTCCCTCTATATCAAAATAGGAAGCTATTTTAAGAGTTTTTTTTCTGCCGAGACATTCGTTGAAGTCCTGTATCTAGCCTGTATTTTGTGTCCTCTCGGGAATGTGAGAGAGAATTTCACCTCACATACCCGTGCGATCAAAGCACTTTCCTCATTGTCTGTCTCTCTTCATTGGCTCACTATTGCTCATGATAAGTAGTATCTAGGAGTCGTCCTGTAGCGCCGAGCACAGGGAGGTCTGTAAAACATGTTCTTTCTTCTCGCCAGAGTCTGTGCGTCTTCACTCCACCTGGAATCAAAGAAGGAAAACCCCGGCTCATCCCTGCTGGGCCCATTGCCCAGGGTACCACCACCTCTGCCTACGTGGCCAAGTCCAGAAAAACATTGCTAGTGGAGGACATCCTTGGGGTAAATGGCTTTTTACTCTGTGACACTTGTAACCTGAAGTATTTTATAAAGATGACGTATCATGTTGATATTATGATTCAAACCATTTTATAAAAGCATTAGAGTAAGATACAGATAAATAAATGAATTTGTATGTAAACTAAAATTCGTCCTCAGAAAAATCATATCTTGGGGCGCCTGGGTGGCTCAGTGGTTAAAGCCTCTGCTTTCAGCTCAGGTCATGATCCCAGGGTCCTGGGATCGAGCCCCAAATCGGTCTCTCTGCTCAGCGGGGAGCCTGCCTCCCTGCCTACTTGTGGTCTCTCTCTCTCTGTCAAATGAATGGATAAAATCTTTAAAAAAAAATCATATATACCCACTGAGAGTTCGATTTGAATAGTTCTTATTTTAACACATACCAGTACAGTTAATCATAAAATGTATGTTTATATTGATGTAAACTAAATGATCACTGTTCTGTGTTATATATCCTAGCAAGATGGCTATGGATGCTGTGTACCATGCTACCCCAGGTTTTGGTGGTGTCCTACAACAACCACCCGTGACTTCTGATGAGTCTGTGCATTGGGCCATCTTGCCGATTGGGCAGTATTCAGCTGGGCTTGCTTATGCGTCTGAACTGGCCGTCACTTAGCAGTTGGCTGGCTGCTGAGAGCCTCAGTTCTCTGTGTTTATCAGTCCCCTACCTCCCCACCCCACCCCTAAGGAAAGCTGGCCCAGAATGTTCTCATGATGGTGGAGAGGTTCCAGAGGACAAGTGAAACATGCAAGTGAGTTTTCAAGCCTCTGCTTTCATCTGATTCACTTTGCATTAGCCAAAGGAAATCACATAAGCAAGCCCAGATCAGTGCTGGAGGACACTGACGAAGGACACGGGTGTGGGCAATGTGACGGTCTTCCACACTGTATGTGAGCGTTGTGATGAGATGGGACCACCTGAGCCTAGACTTCTAAATTGATAAGTACACAAATGACTGTAGAGGTGCGATGACATTGCTCTGGGGAGCTAAGTGGGAGTCACGAGAGCTGGGTTTTAATTCTGGTTTTGCCACTAATTATCTGTGCAGATAGAGATATGGATGAAGAAAGTTGCTAAAAGAGGAGATCTTTATTATAAGATATGGGGGACACTTGGATGGCTCAGGCAGTTAAGCCTCTGACTCCTGGTCTTGGCTCAGGCCATGATCTCAGGGTCGTGAGGCTGAGCTCTGCATTGGGCTCTCTGCTCAGCCCGGAGTCCGCTTGAGATTCTCTCTCTCCCTCTTCCTCTGCCTGCCCCCTCTTTGTGTGCACTTTCTCTTTCCCAGAAACACATAAAATTTTTTAAAAAGATAATTATTCGTCAAGATAGAAATGCTAACTACCACTACAATGGCAGTTGTATTACAATGTATAAATGTATGAAATCAACAGTTTTATACTTTAAACTTAATAATGTCATATGTCACTATATTTCAATTTTTAAAAGTATCAAAAGTAGATACTATACAAGTTGTCATTTGAAAATGTTCCATTGTATATGCAGGCTTTCAGAAGATCTGTAAATTACAAATATATATTTGTACTGTTCTTGATTTAGGAAAAGCTTCCTACAGAAAACAGAAATCAGATAAACAGAATGGTGCTTTGGTATCAATTTATTGAATTTCCCTGTCTTCCTCTGAGTGATTTGCTAAGCTAGAAAGTTAAAAGTCAAAGAACCAGTTGCATTTTTCACAAGTAATTGATAATTATTGGATAATTTGAATACTTCATGTGAGCCTTTGAGATTCAGTCAGAATGACTATCATTAACATACACTTCTGTGTTATTCTAACCTTCAAAATAGAAGAGAAACCATTTTTTATATATATTTTCCTTCATATGATATTTATATACTGGTAAAGCCCTTGGAAGAGTTCCAGCATGTAGAAGGTGATGCTTAAATATGTGTTAGCCATCATAATTACGTTTATTGTCTCATGAAATTGATGCGTATTCCAGGTTAGCTGGATTCTCCTGCCCAGGGTTAAAGAAGGAGGAAAGCAGCATGTGGCGTGGGCTCCATGTTGCCGAGGATGAGCATTTCCTTAAATGTGGCATATGGTGTCCACCGTCATCTGGGTTTCCTTTGGAAAGGGCTGCCCATTTTTCATTACAAGTATTAGGCAATTTCTGGCAGAAATAAGCATCCTAATGTAACGATTCCCCCTCTTTTACTGAACGTATGTCTTGTTCTCCTTGGATTTCTCAGGATGAGCGATTTCCGAGAGGTACTGGACTGGAGTCGGGGACTCGCATCCAGTCGGTGCTCTGTTTACCGATTGTCACTGCCATTGGCGATTTGATTGGCGTCCTCGAGCTGTATCGGCACTGGGGCAAAGAAGCCTTCTGTATGAGCCACCAGGAGGTGAGGCTCGCCGGTTGAGGAACTCGTTAGTGTTGTTCAGCTAATAAATGAATGAATATTTAAAATCACCATGTGCTTAACAATGTTTTGATGTTGTTGTTTTTTTTTTAAGATTTTATTTATTTATTTGCTAGAGAGATCACAAGTAGGCAGAGAGGCAGGCCGAGAGAGAGGGAAGCAGGCTCCCTGCCGAGCAGAGAGCCCGATGCAGGGCTCAATCCCAGGACCTGAGATCATGACCCGAGCCAAAGGCAGAGGCCTTAACCCACTGAGCCACCCAGGCGCCCCCGTTTTGATGGTTTTTAAAAACCTTTATTTTTGTTTTGTAGTTACTTGGAGAGAAACTGATTAAATTAGAAATATAGTAACTTATTTTAGTAAGAATCCATTCTAACAGTAAAAATAGAACTGTGCCATATTGTGAGTCAAATAAAGTAGGAGGAGGACTTTGGAGAGTTTTCACATTCTGGTTGTCTGTGTTTTCCTAAAAATGTCCTCTTCCTAGAGGATATCCCGAGCTAAGATTCCAGCATCACATTTGGAAACTGTGAGTTCCATGCACTGTTCCCTGAATCAGAATTTGCTCATTGGTCCTGAAATGAGATACTGCAGCGATCCGTCCCTCCCAGTATACAGATGCCCCGGTGCCTGTCTGTGCCTGTACTACTCCTGCCCTGCGCCCTCCCTCCAGCCACACTGGGCCCTTGAGCAAGGCTGACTGACGTCTGCACAGAGCCTCTGCGTCTGCCCCCACATCTGCTTGGATTGTGCATGTCCTCCTTATCCCCTCCCCAGCCGCCTCCTTCAGGAGTGTCCTCACATGTCGCCGTGTCAGGGAGGAGGAGGCCTTCCCTGAACACCTCGTGTATCTCCACATTGTGCCTTTGTTTCTCTGGAGCCCCTTGTCACCAGCTGGAACCCTGTGCACTTCCCATATTCTTTTTCTTGTCTTTCTCCCTCAGCCCCCCCATAAGCTGTTCTGGAAGGTGACAGGGTGGGAGCAGTTTGTCTCTGGCACCTGGAGCACCGCCTGGTACCCAAGAGGCACCCGGTGAATGTTTGGGAAGCGAATGAATAGTAAAAGAAGCAGAGTAGCTAGTAGTTGGAGAATTTGTCAGCAAAATTTTAGAAACATATCATCGTTGTAAAGGGATGATGGTTGAGGCCATTTTAGTAGTATTTTTGTTAAACTGAAAAATAATCATTTTATGTGAAAATCATTGGATGGTAGCTCTCTTAAGCAATTCATCTTGCTTTTTATCCGAAGTTAAGAGGAGCGAGAACATTAAACTCAGTTATAAAGAGGCGGGAAATGTAAAAGAGAAATGTTGTACTTATTTGATCCTCCGTGTTTGGCAAAATATTCACATACTCAGCAGCCTCAGAACATTCTCCATAGACGTGCGTGCTAGAGCCTTCGTTGGGATGTCTACATGCGACTAACCAAAACGTGTTCATCCTCTTCCTCTAGGTTGCAACAGCCAATCTCGCCTGGGCTTCAGTAGCAATACATCAGGTGCAGGTGTGCCTTCGGGGTGTTCTCGGGGCCCCCCCTAAAGAGAGAAGAGTTGTGTAAAGTGCAGCCACTGGGGGCCGGGGCAGGGGTTAATAAGTGACCCTCACATGTTATTTTTGGATATTAGGCATTTTGTTATTTCTAAAATTTTGTGTCTATTCACTTGCATTTACTTATCCCTGCCTTAAATATCTTGCAATTATTTTTATATATTTATATGTAATTATTAATCATCTATGCCGTAAATGGTATATGTCCTCTGATGGTTTTTGTTTTCCACTGAAAGCAAAGGAGTGGTCTCCCACTGGCCATAGCATTGATAGTACATTTTTATGACTCTATTTCCTAAATTGGAGCATCCTTTAAACTAAAGGGTATGGGGAAAACATTCATGTCGAATTTAAAATACCTGGTTCTCTTGAAAATACAATGTAATTTAAAAGGTCACAAACTTTATCAAATTTCCTGGCAACTAGACCTCAAGGGTCCGGGGCACAGGAGCTTTGTATCCTGCAGTTCTTGTCACTGCTGTTTTGTTTTCTGCTTCAGCACACCCGGGCGTGTGATGGGAGCAGATCACGTGCACAGTTGCGGGGTGGTAGTATGAGGAGCAAGGACCGCGCAGAGCCGACTGTGTGTGGTCTACGTGCAGTCTGTGCCCAAGTGTCGCTTCTGCACGGGGGAGTGGTTTAAAGAGCACGGCTGGAGGCAGACCATCCGGGTCTGGACGCTGGCCCCTCAGTAACTCCGGAGCGGGCACGGCTCCGAGCTTCCGTGTGCCTCCATTAGAAGAGCAGGTCCCCGATCTCTGCGGGGCAGTGATTGAATGAGACGGTGACTCAGAACACAGAGAGCAGAGCTTAGCGCATGTCAGCAGAAGTATGACGTGTCACTGATAGCCTTACTGCTTCATACGCAGGGATTGTGTTATGTCTTTTGAAATAAAATCAGGTAAATAGTATGCAGGAATTGCTATTTTAAATGAGCAGAAATCTCTCTGGATTAATACCGTTATTTTCTGTGGCAGGTGTGCAGAGGCCTTGCTAAGCAGACGGAACTGAATGACTTCCTACTTGATGTGTCCAAGTAAGTGTTCGCGTCTCGGATTGCAGTAGAGCTTGCTCAGGGGTTCAAGCTAAGTGCAGGCTCGGACAGGGACAGACCACTGCTGTCCACTGCCGTCAGGAAGTGGTCTGCTAGGAGAGGTTCACGTTTCGGACCAGAAAGTTACGTTCTCATCCGTGTTCACTTTACAAGTGAAGGACTGCCGGATGTGTATGTGATGATGTTAATTTGCAGTTTGGTGTATATTTTCTAAATAGACTCACTGGAGAATGTTAAAGACACTAAGTATTTCTATTTTTGTACGAGAAAACCGAGAGCAGTAGAAGAGGAGGAAATGTTCTAGTTTATTACTTTCCAAAAAGTCCTCTCTGGCATTATCTACAATGTCAGTAAAGTAAATCGTATTATCAATATTATTATTTTAATTTTCCCATGTATGGCAGCTCAGATATCGTTTTAGAGAAAATGTTCCATTTCCCCAAAATCTGACCTAGAAAAACCTCCTTGGGTTGGCAGTGAAAGCACTTACAGATGTTTATTACTTTCGAGGTTCATAACTGGTTTTGCCTGCTACAAGGAAGAGTGTCCACAGATGTGACCCATCTACTGAATTGGTGAAATCTAGAGTAATGCCCCAGGATGTGGTCACTTCAAGGTCACGTCCTCTGGCAAGTTAATAGAGGAAATACGTACCTGTTCTTCCACCAGCAGCAGCTCTGACCGTATTCTCTCTCGTAGATCACTTTGGCAATGCTTATAACTTACCATTCGCGAGCGTTATAATCCCATCCCTAATTAGCCTGGAGTTGCTGCTTTGTGTTACATGTATTTCTTGAAATACGAAATGAGAGAAGCATGGGAGTGAGAATGCTCTCATGTGACCCCGTACGCCAGCTATGTCCCTGAGAGAGAATTACACTGTGTCTCTGGGACACATGATACTGTTACTTCGGAGCACAGAGAGAGGGAAGCTGTGCGCCTGCCTTTGCTAATGTATCTGACAGTCTTGCGAGTCCTCACAGTCCGGTTGGATCCCTGTAAGCCTCCCTCAGGGGACAGCCACTCTTTGCCATCTTCCTTGCTGTGCATTCCTCAGTGCACAGATGAAGTGAAGTCTTGCTGGCCCCAGGCTGAAGGGGAAGTGTTGTCTTCTCAACAAAAGGCATTGCTTATCGCCCTTAAGTTATCTTAATTCTGAGTACCTTGCTAACTTCTCAGGAAACTCAAGTGAGAGCAGTACCTTGCCAATAGATCCCAGATTAACACAGTCCCTGAAATACATACTTACTGATTGATCTGTTTATCAGGTTGACATTTTGATGTAGGTGCCATGTATCTCCAAAAAATTTACTTGCTATTTATAATAATGAATATATCATTTACTTGTGCAAAGTCGATGGGCTATTAACATTTCTTGTATCCTGATGTTTCTTCTCATATGAATTCCATTGCTTTCTCAGTACAGTTACACTAACATTTTAACATTCCAGTTTTTCAGTGATAATTTACATTTTAACTATATTAATAAGATTTAGCAAATTTAAATTTTTTTTCAGATATTCATGAAAATATGAAATATGGTGAGCCCCATTTTATCCCTTCATAGTTTTGGTTAAATGCTACAGACTTTCTCTCAAAATAGGTACTTACCAGTAAAATAATTACTTAATTCATCCTCTGAAATTAGAGATCTTCATACCAAAGTTAATGATAAAGTTTCATTCATCTCCCTAAAGTAATGTTATTGGTTGCTTCCACAGGAGGAGAGAAGTCAACATATATCTTTACATTTTTTGCTTAAATGTATGCAAAAATGGGAAATATATTTATTTTAATATGTTCTGTGTTATTTAGATTAATTAACAGTTATTATGTTCCTTTTTTCAGGACATATTTTGATAACATAGTCGCAATAGACTCTCTACTTGAACACATAATGGTAGGTTGCTTTTTATTTTGAAAATGATTGTATTTAACCCTTAGATTCGTGTCCTAACACGTGGTAGAATATTTTCAGGTATTAGATGTATACGCTGTGTTAAGTACGATGAGAAACCGTGCTTAGTGAGTGGAGGTGTTGCTCTGATTTATTTGTCACTTTTGATTAATTTTGGAGGCATCTTGAATAACTTTTGGAAAAATATCTGAGTTTTTCATTATTCAGTGGCGAGCCATACTTTGAAAAGACATTTAGTTCCCTCTTATACTCTGCGGAATACCTTTTGCATACCAACTACACTAGGAACTCCCAACTGACTCTTCTTGATCTTAAGGTCCATTCTGTTTAGTTTTAATCTTAATTACTCCTGTCTGGCAGACTGATAAGCACTTGCAGCTGAAAGCCATTGAGAACTGGACTTCTATCCATATTTTCCTGTATTGCTGCCCTGGTGCTCTGGCAAGACCTCATTAAAGAAGTGGGTCCCGGCAGAGCGGCCTGTCTGTGCACACCACAGGGGTCGGGCTTGCTTAGTACCGTTCTTGCCCTTTGCGTACTTTGATTCGGGTTCTTACTCCTTCCTGTTTTCCTGGTCTTTTCTCAGAGGATTGCAACCCTTTGCAATAAGTTATAGGCATATAGGCTTATCTCCAGGCTTCATGGTACGCACTGATGTGTTTCTCTTTGATATCATGGCAGGTGAGTATAAAGTGTGATATGCTCTGTGTCTTGTGGAGACAAAGTTTAGGAAGGAAATTAATAACATTAGGAGTTCTTTATTGCTCTCAGCCCATTCCTTCTATAATTAGTTATATTGATGGTTTTATTTGGATGAAAAAGCCTGCTTAATTGCATAGTAAAAAATAATTTTCTTGCTTATGACAAAATTTAAGAAGTTTGTAAAGAAGTGAAAAACATTAAACTGTAAAAATCTAAATATACGAATTGACATGGTTTGACGAGGAGTATAGGAAACACTCGTTGACTAGTATTATCTTCTTAAAAACAGTTTTACTGAGATATAATTTACATACCACACTATTCATCCATTTAAAGTATTCAATTCAGTGACTTTTAGTATATTCAAAGATATGTGCAACCATCACCGGTCAATTAGGAACATTTTCGTTACCTCAAAGTGACACTGCATATCATTTTGGCCATCACCGACTTATGCCTCCATCCTCCTCCCTCCCTCCACCCCCAGCTCCCCAGTCCTAAGCAATCACTGATCTACTTTCTTTTTCTGTGGATTTACCTAGTCTAGACATCTCACGTAAAAGAGATCAGGTAATGTGTGGCCTCTTGTGCCTGGCTTTTTGCACTTAGCGCCCTGTTGTCAAAGTCCACTCGGGCTGCAACAAGTATCAGGACTTCGCTCTTTTTTATGGCTGAGTCAGACTGCGTTGTGCGGCTAGAGTGACTACACTTTCATCCTTCCTCCGGCGGATGAACATGTGGATTGTTTCCACATTTCGGCTAATGTGCAAAGTGCTGCTTTGAACATCTGCATACATTTTTTTTATTTGAATACCTGTTTTCAGTTGTTTTGGTTAACTTGGGAGTGGGATTGCTGGGTCTTATGATAAGTGCGTGTTTCGCTTTTTGAGGAACTGCCGGGCTGTCTCTGAGCGGTTGCACCATATTACTTCCCCCTGACAGTGCCCACGGGCTCTAGTTTCCCCACATTCTCACCAGTGCTGGCTGCCATCCAGCTTTTCAACCTAATGCCAGTATTATCTAAAGATAGAAAAAAGGAAAGCCTTTGAGCAAAATATCGATGCAAAAGTCAAAAATATATAATAACAACAAATCCAGGAGTAAAGATTACATCAAGCTAAACAGCATTCACCCCAGGAATGCAAGAGTGGTTGAATAGTAAGTAATGAAGTAATATAATTCCTTATTCTAATTAAGTAAAGGAAGAAAAATCACATCATTTTAATAATGACACACAAAAATTTTATACTGCTCAACACCCAGTAACTGCTCACTCATAGCAAATTAGGAAGAGAAGGAAAAGTTAAACGGTGTCTGCTGGCAACCTACAACATGCCCAGAAGTTAGGCAGGAGAAGCGTACACATTGAGGAACTTGTCCAGACAAGTCTATGAGCTCCTCTCTGAGAGGTACCAGCAAGCTGTAGCGACACCAAGAGAGAGCACGGAGAGGGTGTCCCCACCCTGCTGTCCCAGATGGCTCCTGTGTAGTCTCTTGGTGTGTGGCAAACCTGTGTCTGGTCCTCAGGTGGAGGCTTCAGGACAAGTAAATAGGCCTTTTTCGCAGGAAAACTAGGGGTGTGTTTCAGTTTGTGTCTGTGTACTGCCCTGGCGGTAGTAGCCTGCCCAGAATGGTCTTTCCAGTTGTTACAATCCTATAGGACCCAGGAATGCTAGCCAACCCACCACCTCCCCGGCCACCAGAGCCAGACGATCAAGGGGCATCCCTTGAGCAGACTGCATACACCCCACCAGCTTTAGCGAGGTTGAGGGAGAGCACTGGGCTGGGGAGCATCCTCCAGCTTTCACACGGCCACAGCAGAGTGCGGGGCGGGAGCGTTGCCCACCGGCACTGGCGAGGTCCAGGGAAATGCAAAAATGACATCCACCAGCGCTTTGATGTCCCAGAAGGCTCCTGCTCATCTGGCAGACGCTGTCAAATTAGTGAATGATTCTCCTTCACATACATTCTAGGAGCTTTTCAAACTGCTGCTTTTGCGCTGGTCCAGAGGCAAGTTAAGTCTGCATGGGGGCCCTGTGCGTCTACGGGTGCGCGCCCTGTCGGTGTTCAAAGCCAGGTGTTGTAGGGGCTTAGATATGGGTATAGGTATTGTAATGTGTTGATTTATTCCTAGGTTGGATTTGCTGAAAGTTTTTATTTATGAGTTTTCTTCTGTTTCCAAGGTAAATCGGTTTATGATTTTCTTTTTTTATAGCGTCTTTGTCAATTTCCAATATCAGTGCGTGGCAGGTTTTCTAAACGTAACTGAAAAAGTCTTGTTCTTTCTGAACATAGAACACTGTAAACTGGATGAGAATTTATTTGTTGAAGATTCTTACATAATTCATTCTTGAAATCACTTGGGCCTGAGGCCTTTTTGGGGATCATTCTTTGACAATTATACAGTTGTCTTCATGATTCTGTTCTGTTCAGATTTTTCAACTCCTTGATTCATTTCCTTTTTGTAGAAAAATCATCCATTCCATTCAGGTCTTTATAAATATTAGCGTAAATTATGCCAAAGTATTAAGCAATTAACATGACCTAGGCACTAGGGCTGCAAATTCCACTTTTCATAATGTAATCTCTAAGAGTATAGGATCATCATCATTACTTAATGATTCGGGATGGCCTGAGTTTGCAGAGTAGACGGGTGATTCTTCTGTTTGCCAACAATGCACTCCCATTTCAGTCTTCCTAACTCTATGTCATTCATCAGCCCTCAAACAGTTATTGAGGGCTCTTGGGTTATGGAGATCTTACATGTTCTAAACGAAAGGCTGGCAGACATTTTTCTGTTAAGGATCAGATAGTAAAGTTTTATGCTTCCTGGGCCATAGTCTGTTGCCATCCCTCAACTCGGCCATCCTAGCAGCCTCAAACGATACGTAAAGGAATGAACATAGTTCCTTCCCAATAAAACTTTATTTATAAAAACAGACAATGGACTAGATTTGGCAAATGGACTTAGCTGACCTCTGCTTTAGGCATTGTGCCGGGTTTTTGGAATACTGCGGGGGAAAAAAGCAGCAGTTTCTGCTGTCACAGAACTCTCCGGATAACGGAAAGAGACGAACTGCCAGTTCTTGTACTGATAACACCCAGTCCCCGGCGTGGCCGGTATTCGTTGAATGAGTACTGTTTGTCGAGACAAGTGTATACTGTGGGGATGAACCGGGGTACCTAACCTGTCTTGATTTCTTTTTATTAAATCTGTAGAGTAGTTTTACATGAGATTTTATATTTTCCTCTGGCCACAAGGTGGCCCATGTCCTCTTGCATACTTTGTGATGGCTCTTTTCTTCTGAGAATCAACTCTTTTTCTCTGGGGAATAACTTCATGTCTAAAACGCGGAGGGGTGAGGTTCCCAGAACTCTCAGTCAGGGTAAATGTGCTCACTGTGCCACAGCTGCGGGTTCAGCCCGAGGGGACAGTGGGGTATTTGGGGCATTAAAGAAATGATTGTGGAAGGAAATCGATGAACAAGTGAATGACAAGATGAGTATAGTTTTCCGATTAGAAATGAAAAAGCATACTCGCTACAGGAGCACAGGCCATGAGAACAGCTAGTGCGAGTTCAGATACCCAGTCTGCCCTTACCAGCATGTGACGGTGGACAAGTCCAGTTACCTCTGCGCCTCGGTTATCCTAACATGTAAAGTGGAAATAAAAATATTCCCTGACTTAATATCATGATTGTGGGGATTAAGTGAAGGAAGACACCTAAAGGGTGTGAGAGTGTCGGCACATAGTAAACACTTCATAATTGTTCCACATGATTTAGTGCAGCAGGGAAGATGCAACAGATGTGAGTATGAGCCTCATTAGTAGTTGTATTTCATATTATACTTTACAACTGCTGCGTCACAAATGCCGGCCAGCCAAAATGGACGCTGGCCTCAGAGCTGGCAGAGGCTAGCACCAGGCGTGAGGGTAAAGCCCCAGAGCTTCTGGAAGGGAGGGGCCGCGGTGCAGCGGGGCTGTGAGGGAGGGAGGCCGGCAGCTGCTTTCCAGCCCACAGGAAGTTCTGCAATATTTCCACACCCAGCCCACCACCCAGCACACCACGGCACGTGTGCAAGCGGCTGTTCATTCATTCATGCTGGTATCTGCCAGTGTCAGCACATAGACAGGGATGGACAGTGTGTACCTGTATTTATGGAGTCAGAGCGCTAATTTTCCACAAAGTATAGATCAGCTGAAATTTATATTTATGTCTGATAAAGTTTGCCTTTAAACTCCGAATTTCTCATTGGCTTACTCTTGTTTTATTGTTTGTCTTTAGATATATGCAAAAAATCTGGTGAATGCAGATCGTTGTGCACTTTTCCAGGTAGACCATAAGAACAAGGAGTTATATTCAGACCTTTTTGATATTGGAGAGGAAAAGGAAGGAAAACCTATCTTCAAGAAGACCAAAGAGATAAGGTACAGCTGGAAGTAGAGTGTCCATACGCGGCCACTGCAGCTGTGCGGGTGTCCCGTTACCCACTCTTCTGTGCCTATCCACAGGTGTGCTGACAGTACTTGTCATACTGTGATATCATTCCCACCAGGACCCGCCTCCTGAAGGTAGTACTTCTGGGAATGACATTGCAGTGCCAGCGAAACCGCGCCTAGGAAGCTTTAGCGTCACTCCTGGAAATGCCGTCTTCCGGAGGCGGTCCTTTTGGAAATCATGTTGGAAAAACTTACTAGTGCTCCCAGGTAGGTAAAGGTTCATCCCACCTGGAGTCTGCAGGGTTTTCCTATGTCTTGGAACAGGGCATACTTAAAAACCACTGCCCCATCCTTCACATACTACGGGGCCGTCTCCAAGTCCAGACCACAGTGGAAATTGACCCGGTTTAGTTAATGACTTAAACACATTATTCTATAACTGACCAGTTGGTTTAATCGGTCACCTAGCACACTTCTGTTGCATCTAGAAACTAAAGCCTTCTTTGTTCTTTAAATGGCAGTTTCTGTCACTTAAATGAACAGAGTGACATTTAACTGGTAGAGGCTTGCTTGCTCAATCTTTTATCACAATCTGAACATCTACAAGGAGCACTGTCACCAAACTTTTAAGAATCAAGCTTAACATTCAAAACTTGGTCTTTTTTTTAGACATTTGCACCCCTTTTGCTTATGTATCTTGTTTAAATATTTTCCACATCATAATACGAAGTTGGTAGTGACAACACTGTAGTAATACACTATTCCTTATTAATTATGAATTGCTATTCATTGGCCTGTCACATCCAAGAGCCATGCAGGTGTGCAAGAACAGGAGCGAGAACAGGTCCCAAAGCAGTCCTCACCGCTGCCTGCCGCAGAGCACTCCCCATTCTGGGGCCCTACGGTGACGGATCCTGTACTCCACACTCACAGAACTCCGAATTAGAGCCACTATTTAGATTTTTTATTTTTACTTGTTTTATTTTTGGTTTCTTGGTTTCTTAGACCTCAGTCAGTCTGGTCAGGTAATTTCTCTTGCGGAAGGTGCAGGTGTTCCTTCCCAGGGCTGATACCGATCTCATCTTGGAGACAATAACTTGAAGTTTGTGTTGACAAGCGTGGGAGAACCAGGGGGATCTGCTGGGCTGCAGCTCTCTCAGTTGGCCAGTTAATGTCAGCCGTTGATGTAAGGGCCTGCCTCTTAGCGATCTGACCGGAGATAGCAGACCAGGGAAACCAAGCATAAATCATGACATGCATTCTGACACTCTCTGCTTACAACAGTCCAATTTGTTCTGGGCATGTTGTTCAAACCACAGGAAAACCAGGACAAAGCAAGCTTGCTCGCTTTTTGGCATTTTAAGAAAGTTAATTCTCTTTTGTGTCAACTGTCTTTTTTTTTTTTCCCTTAAGTTTGAGCTTTATTTCAGTAATAGTCATTTCCTATAATATTGAAAATGTGATATTATGGAAATTATTTTTAAGCTATTGAAATCTGTAGATTTTGTGGGCTCTAGAGCTCTTAACTAATTTTGAAATGAGTGCATGTACTTTGGTGATATTGTAATTGGAAAAGTATTTACAAAATAAGAATGTATTTATAAAAGAAAGTGCTGATATTAGATATCTAAACATAATTAAATGTAATCAAATAATGCTTGTATTTTGATTGTTCTTAAATTTAACAAATTAGAGAAGCAAAGATACTAGGAGTTTTAAATTGTGTTATTTTTATATAGTGCTTGTGTTACAAAAGCCTTAAGGTCCCAGTACTGCATAGTATCTCAAATCAGACATAACCTCTAAGTTTGGTTATATGCGTGGTAGAAAATACACCGGTGTAGACCCGTATTCTTGCTTTTATGGTGCCACTAACTTTTTAGGAATGTTGGCAGGTTACTGAACCCTTATGGGCTTCTGTTCACACAGTGAGAATTAATTAAGAAAATTTATGTTGAGGGGGTCTGTCTGGCTTAGTCATTAGAGCATGGGACTCTTGATCTCTGGGTCATGAGTTCAAGCCCCACGTTGGGCATGGATAAATTAATTAATTAAGTAATTTAAAGAAAATTTATGTTGAAGCATCCTGTAAATTATAAGGTACTTTGCAAATATAAAAGATTATTATTGGTCAGTAGAGGAGAGTGTTAGTTAATTTCTCAATTTCAGTTTATGATCAAGTATAACTTAATATATTGTGGATTAGATCTTTTTAAATAAGCTTCTGAAGTGATTACTGTGCAGTGTTTCTCTGCTTTACCTTTACATTTATATAAGAGGATTTTGAATATGTACATGTAAAATTAATGCAAGTATTTAAAACAAAACAATGCTTTTTTCATAATATATTTAGTGGTAGTGAAACGTTTCAAGTTATTTCACAACATCTGTATTTTAATTGGCATGTCCCTCTCTTTTATATCTGCAGATTTTCAATTGAGAAAGGAATTGCTGGTCAGGTAGCAAGAACAGGGGAAGTCCTGAACATTCCAGATGCCTATGCAGACCCACGCTTCAACAGGTAAGAAATCGTTTACGCCCCGTCAGCCTCTCCTGTCCATCTGCTGCAGCCTCTGTGCTCCCCACGTGCCAGTGCCGTTGGCGTCTTACCCTGGGCGCCCTGTTATACTTTCTTTAAACCAACTCTGTTGTCAGTACTCAGTGTTTCCAGATTCTTATAAAATGACAGACTCTAAACCATTAATGAGATCCAGCTATAAGACATTAAAATGTCACAAAACCATTTCTACAAGAAGAGTTTAAGTTTGCAAGGCTGTCTTTGTTTTCATTGTAGTGTTAGTCATTCTGTCCTGGGCGCGGCCTCCATCAGACCGTACCCCGCAGGCAGTCACAGTGACTGGTAGAAGTGCCTCCTTGCGAGTTCCAGCTGTGTCCCTACTTAGCTCTAGAGCGACCTGGAGTGAGTTACGAAATCTCACAGAGCTTCTGTCACCTCATGTTCAAGATGGTACAGAATTGCCCGTTTTATAGGGTGCTCTCTGTTTTGTTTTGTTTTGTTGGTTTTGGTTTTGGTAAGATTAGAGAAAATACTCATAAGAGATCTGGCAACTTTGCCTGATACAAAGTGGGATCTCCATAAATTGCTGCTTTTACTGGATATTATTAAAATTGGATATTAGATGGCATGTAAAGATTTTCTGTCTTGTTTTGAGCTTCTTTGGAGAACTAGAAACCAAATTATGTAATCTGATTTTTATAAATCTCAAAATTACAATTTTGTCTGAAGACTGATGCTGTGACTGGTAGGGAGTAACAGTTCAGATACTTTGACAGTAGAGTTCTCTTACTTCAAACATTTGATTACTTTAAAAGGCGATTAAATAGCATAAACAATAAGTATTTTCAGAAATTTGATCAGTGTCAAATATGTGCAACTTGTAATGTAAACACAGTTAAACACCCCCGTTTTTTCCAAAAAAACCAAACGTGTTTTTTAGGGTTCAAATACTGAAAATATTTATATATCCTTATTTAAAACTGTTATGTAAAAATTTTATGGATCAATTTTTAAGAACGTGAAAAGGTAAGCAACAGATGGTGAGAAAATATTTGCAAAACGTGTATCTGACAAAATACTTGCATCCAGAGGATGTAAACAACTCTTTGCACATAATAAGATAACCTAATTTAATAAATAGGACCCAGCATTTTAACAGACATTTCACAGAAGATGGTGCATGAATAGCCATTAAACACACGAGCAGATGTTTGATGTGGGGGAAGCAGAAATATGACATGAGACCTCAGTACACAACAATTTGAGTGGATACAGTTTGAGAAAGTGGCCTTAGCCAGGTGCTGAGTGGCTCAGGGTCGTGGGATCAAGCCCCACATCAGGCTTCGCTCTGAGTTTGCATGTGCTTGGGATTCTCTCTCTCTTTCCCCCTGCCAATCCCCTCCCCCAATAGATAAATCTTAAAAAATCTGAAAGTGGCATCAGCAGGTGTTGGCAAGGATGTGGAGACACTTGGGCTCACACACTCTGCTGACGGGAGTGTGTAATGGTACAACCGCTTTGGAAAATGGCTGCACAGTTTCTTGTAGAGCTAAGCGTACGCTTACTGTGCTGCATCAGCCTCACACGTGGGTACCAAGAAAAACGACATCTGTCCACACAAAACTTTGTATGCAGATCTCCACAACATCATTATTCACAGTTGCCAAAAAACTGGCTGTTAACAAAGCAATACCCTCCATGAGCCGGTGAGTCGGTAAATAACATGTGGTCTGCCTGTGCCCCGGAGTAGCCCTGTACAGGGGAGAGGGCTGAGCCACTGACACCCACCACCGGATCCGTGCATCTCAGAGCGGTTCAAGGAGCACGAATGACAGCATCTCAGTCACTGCCCTCAGGTACATGGTTGTGTCTGTGGAACTGAGTCTTGTTTGCCAAAAATATTTTCTCTAAACCAGGAGTCAGCAAAATGTTCTATTAAGGATCAGATAGTAAGTATTTGAGGCCATAACATCTCTCTCTTTTTTTTTTTAAGATTTTATTTATTTATTTGCAGACAGAGATCACAAGTAGGCAGAGAGGCAGGCAGAGAGAGGAGGGGGAAGCAGGCTCCCTGCTGAGCAGAGAGCCCGATGCGGGGCTCGATCCCAGGACCCTGGGATCATGACCTGAGCCGAAGGCAGAGGCTTTAACCCACTGAGCCACCCAGGTGACCTGGGGCCATAACATTTCTTGTCACAAGTTCTCAGCCGTCGTAGGCTGGCAGCAGTCCGTTCAAGGATGGCGGCCATGTATTCCGTTCAGACCATTCACAGAACAAGAACAGTGTGTGTGTCGTGTGCATTGCAGCTCTCATAACATAGGACCAAGTTCGAAGGAACATGTGACTTTACCAAATTTATCATATCCGTCCCCTGCATCCGATGTGTGTGTGTTTTTTTTTTTTTTTTAATTTTATTCATTTGACAGAGAGAAAGCCAGAGGGAACACAAGCAGGGGGAGTGGGAGAGGGAGAAGCAAGCTTCCCGCAGAGCAGGGAGCCTGATGCGGGGCTCGATCCCACGACCCTGGGATCATGACCTGAGCCGAAGGCAGATGTTTAACGGCTGAGCCACCCAGGTGCCCCCGATGTGTGTTTTCTTAACCATGCCGTGCATACGCGAAACTGAACGACAAGCTGAAAGTCTCCGAGAGGCTGTTCTGGAAAACTCTTGAAAACAAAAGAACAAATTGGTTAGAATATTTTCGAAGAGATTTTAACGAAACACTTTCAAATGTCACATAGTCCTTGAACTTAGAAGCTGGGCAGCCCCATTACGATTATCTGTAAGAGAAGCGCATAAACTGAGAAACCGAGTTGAGATTTATGGCAGAATGTGCAGCTTATTCTCTCCTGTGCTTGTGCGCTGCCACGTGGCCTTGCCCGTGGCGCAGGGAAGTGGACCTGTACACGGGGTACACGACCCGGAATATCCTGTGCATGCCCATCGTGAGCCGAGGCAGCGTGATCGGCGTGGTGCAGATGGTGAACAAGATCAGCGGCAGTGCCTTCTCGAAGACGGACGAGAACAACTTCAAGATGTTCGCTGTCTTCTGCGCTTTAGCCTTACACTGTGCCAACGTGAGTGACGCTTCCTTAAAGGGCTTTTCAAATAGTCAGTATCAGCGTTAAAACTGCTTCAGTCAAGTAGGGGAAAGGACCGGGTTTTGTTTTGCTGTCTTGTTAGGTTTTCTCAGTATTTCCTTCATACGTGAGAAACGGTGATTCCGGGTTCCACATATATTAGGAAATGTCTTAAAATGCTTGGGGGAAAAAAGTCCAATATTTTAGCATTTGTTTCAAGGTGTGAATTTGTTTATAAAAAATGAGATTAATATAAAGCTAAATTGTTCAAGCAGGTTTATGTCTCATGGTGTCTACTGAAGTGAGTAAGGAAAATGGGACCTAAACCCTTATGTTTGTCGTGTGTCATCCGTTTGAGAGCCTTGTACAAAAGCGAGCAATGACTCTTGTGCGAAGACCGCCGGGGTCGCGCTCTAGGAGTCCGCTCACTTGACCCTCATGGCGCGTCTGTCCTGGTCCCTGCGTCCTACGTGAAGTTCCACTTGTCTTACAGGGTCCCACTTTAAAATAGTTGCATGAAACATCAGTGTTCTGTATACGCTAGTATCCTTCACTGATATTACTATTTTTTAAAAAGTCAGGGATAATTTTATTCACCTTTTTTTTTTTTTAAAGCTAAACCAACCTAAATGGGAGTTAATACTTTACTAGTGTAGAAAAATGGCCTTTTTGGAAATAGAACCTCAAGTTCCACAGGAGCAGCCACACAGCTGATGGAAGTGGCTGAAGGATGATTAGGAACAAAAATGGCAAACAGGATGCGCGGGCGACGAGGGTTAACGGGTTGCACTTGGGCTGGCGCTGCTCCGTGAGCTCGCCGCTCCTCCCGCTGGCCACCATGGACCTCCCCGCCCCCCCTCCGGGGCCCTTTCCTGCTGCTTGGTTCCTCTGAAACACATGCACGCAGTTGTCCGATGCGTTCTGCTTCAGACATTCTCTGTACCTGTGTTTCTCCCCATAAATAAAAATATTGACAGCTTACATAATTGTTTCGTTTGAAAGTTGCGCAGAATATAATTTCAAATATATCCTGAATATTGATATTCATCGATTTTTGAGTGTGTCCAATGGAATCTACTATAGCTGCTGAGAGCCAGTATAGTCCATGTAAGACTACAACAGCGGGCTCTCATGACTGGAAATCACAGCGTCTTTGTTTCCTCTCTCTGAACATGTATCTCTGTGAACCCACACAAGTTTGATCTAATGTAATGTATTTTATTCTTAAGAGTGTCTTATTAATTAAGATAATCTAAGACATGAATAATAAGTGTCAAAAATTAGTTTTGCCTCATGGTAGTGTATTTTATATTATTATTAGGATACAAGTGCTCAAAGCAACCATGTTGGGAAATTTTGATGAGTAATGATCAAAAACAAAAAATACAAATTATTGGATGTATTATATCCTAATGAGATGTCTGTGGCTTAAAATAAAAAGCTAATATACCCATGCATGCATTTTACCTACTTTAGAATGAAACTAAGTTTAGTGTAAGTTTTTACACTGTTTTGAAAGAACTTCAGACAGAAAGCAAAGTTGTAAAAATAATGCAAAGATTCCCTTAGAGCCTCCCCATGCTCCCCAATACAGAAATGCTAACCTTGTTAGGCCGATGCTCCTCCTCCTGTCTCTCCCGGCCTCGCTCACAGCTGCCGTGTTCCTCTGAGCCATTTGGGAGCAGGTTTTACACAAAAGCTCTCATAACCCCTGAGTCCTTTGGCTTGTGTTTTCTAGAGACAGGCTTGTCATCTTGCTCCCCACTGCATGATTTAAGAGTCCAGAAGCTCACGCTGGCACTTAGTGCGTGAGGCTGCCCGAAGCGGCCCCGTAGACCGGGCGCTTAGAGAACAGAAGTTATTTTGCCGCAGTCCTTGCAGCTAAAGTCCAGGATGGCCGTGGGTTTGATTTCTTCTGAGGCCTCTCCCCTCAGTCTATAGATGGCCTTCCTCTGTCCCCCCGTGTCGTCATACGGTCTTCCCTGTGTGTGTGTCTGTGTCCTCACCCCCCTCCTTGTAAGGATGCTTGTCATACGGTCTTCCCTGTGTGTGTGTCTGTGTCCTCACCCCCCTCCTTGTAAGGATGCGGGCCCACCCTGCTGACCTCATTTTACCTTAATTCATTCCTTCAAGGCCCTGTGTCCAAATGTGTTACGTTCTGAGGTACTGGGGCTTCAAGGTTTCAACATAAAGTTTGGAGGAACATTGCTCAGCCAAATGGCACAAGGAACCGTTAGCTAAACTGTGAAGTTCTTTAGTGTCCTTTAATCTGGAACCATTCCTGACTCCTGGCCTTGCATGACCTGAGTATTTCTGAAGTGCATAGGCCAGTTATTTTATAGAACGCTTCTCAATTTGGATTTGTAGGTACTTCCGCATGATTATATTAGGTTGTAATTTTGACAGGAATATGGAGGAATGATGTGTTCCCGTTGAGTCCCGTTAGCAGGCACACGTTCTTTCACTGGTGATGGCTTCATCACTTGGTTCAGGCGGTGTCTGCCAGGTTTCTCCTCTGAAACGCTTTCCCTCCTTTTCTCGTTATTTGGAAGAGAGTTTTCCATAAGCCTCTGCCATCATTCTCTTCTCTCTTCCCCAGACATATATCCTGTCTCAGCCCATACAACTCCTTCTGGCTGTCTCCCTTCCATCTTCGGAACTTTATTCTTTGACACTGAGGAATTGGATTCCCACTATTCAGCAACAATGTTATTCCTACTCATTGAGGAATTTTTGAGGAAGCCCTAAGAATTAGATTCCCGCTATTCAGCAACAATGTAATAATAACAATGTTATTCCTACTCATTGAGGAATTTTTCAGGAAGTCCCTAAGAATTGCCTTCATTAATGAGTAAATAGCAGAAAGAATTTTATTATAGCAATTTCTCTCAGTTTAAACTCCACCTGAGCTAAGAGGCCAAGAAGTACCGATAACTCCATCATTAAAGGTTATTTCAAAATGATCTGTCAGCTGAAGATTTATTTAGATTCACCACCATCGATATTTTATGAAAACTTCAGAATCTGCTATTAGACCTCATTAATACCGTATTTCATATTTTCCTATGTTTCAAGAGGTTTTGTGTTTAAGCAATTTGAGGAAGGGTTATTTTAAAAAGGGAGGGGGACAAAAGTCATTTTTTAGATCAGAGTATGTGTGAAAGTTAAGGAGGTAGAAGTCGGTCCTCTTAAAATCTGTCTAGGTTTCCCTGTGTCTCTTGAAGAATGTGTCACTGTCCGTGAACTTGAGTTAACTCAGCTGTGTCATTAGAGGAACTGGCTGCGAGGGTCCAGAGCTCTTCTAACCTGCTGGGTGTTGCATCACAAAACCTGGATGCAAACATGATTAAATGTTTAGACCAAACTAAACCCAAATTTAAAGAAGAAAAATAACATCCCTGGGAAGTCATGAATAAGTTAAGAGGAATTCTGTCTTTGCATTTGTAGCCTGGTCCAGGTTCAGGTGGGGAGTTGTACACCAGCTGGCCCACACAGTTCAGTTACGGAGGTGGTTTGAAGTGGACTTCTATTTCCATCGTGCTCCCCACGCATTTGCTGTGTGTGGCAAAGTACTTGGAATAGTTGCTGAATTCATATATTACTACACATCTCATCTTTCACAAAAAGGTAGATATTCCAAGTGTGCCCATCTTTTAGGATGACAAAGTACAGTCAATAAATATTTCATTATTTGGAAGACAGATTCAAATAAATAGTATTTAATCTGACTTTGGCATCGCAAGTCACATTCACACTGAATAAGAAAACAGCTGCTTTTCCAAGTAAACGCATCCTGCGAAGAGAGCACATGGGAAACAGATGTCTGCAAGTATTCTTGTCACCGTCGTATTGTCACGTGACTCCCACATCCACGTGTTCACAGGCTTTACAGAGCACTTCTAAGCAGCTTTCCTGAGGTTTATAAGTACGCGATGCACTGCGTGTGTCCCGAGTGTCCAGCGTGACAAGTGCCCATACACACAGCCCAAGGAAACCGTCACTGCCACCAAGTCACGACACATCCACTGTGTTACGTGTTTCTGGGTGCCCCTGGAAACCTCCCTCACGACCCTTCCCATCTTTACCCCCAGCCCCCCATTTCAGGTAACCACAGATCTGCTTTTTGTTACCATAGTAAATTACTTCGCATTTTTCTGGAGTTATTTTATATAAATGGAATCCTAAAATCAGTATTTCTTTTTGTCTTGGGTTCTTTAACTCAGCACAACTATTTCGAGATTCACTGATGGCATCGCATGTATGAATAGTTCATTCCTTTTTATTATTGAATGTTCGTTGAGTAGAGATGCTGTAAACTACTCAGTCACGGGGGATGGGCATCTGAGTCATTTCTAGGTTTTGGCTATTACAGATAAAGCTGCAGTGGGCATCTGTGCACGAGTGTTTGTAAGTGTGACTCTCGTCTCCATTGAGTAGATGCCTAGGCCTGGACTGGCTGGTCAGGTGTGAGGGCCGTTTGGAAGACTGCCAAACTGTTTTGCAAAGCAGCTGAGCCCCTGGTACATTCCCAGCACACCTGTGTGCGTCTGGTTCCTCCGCATTTGCCATCTCTGTGTCTTCTTTGGTAAAGTGTCTTCTCAAATTGCTCTTTTTTGTTTACAACTGTTTGTTTTCTTACTGAGTTTTAATAGTCCTTCATATGTTCTCGACACAAGGTATTTATCAGATAAGTTATTGCAAATATTTGTTCCCGGTGTTTGGCTTGGCTTGTCATTCTCTTAACAGTTTCTTTCTGAGAGCAGTTATTAATCTTGAAGAAGTCCAATTGGGATTTTTTTTCTGTTTTATTTTATTTTATTTTATTTCTTTTTAGTGTTCCAAAATTCATTGTTTATGCACCACACCCAGTGCTCCATGCAATACATGCCCTCCTTAATAACCACCACCAGGCTCACCCAACCCCCCACCGTCCTCCCCTCCAAAACCCTCAGTTTGTTTCTCAGAGTCCACAGTCTCTCATGGTTCTTCTCCCCCTCCGATTTCCCCCATCTCACTTCTCCTCTCCATCTCCCCATGTCCTCCATGGTATTCCTTATGTTCCACAAATAAGTGAAACCGTATGATAATTGACTCTCTCTGCTTGACTTATTTCACTCAGCATAATCTCCTCCAGTCCTGTCCATGTTGATACAAAAGTTGGGTTTCATCCTTTCTGATGGAGGCATAATACTCCATAGTGTATATGGACGACATCGTCCTTATCCATTCGTCTGTTGAAGGACATCTCAGCTCTTCTCACAGTTTGGCAACTGTGGCCATTGCTGCTATGAACATTGGGGTACAGATGGCCCTTCTGTTCACTACATCTGTATCTTTGGGGCAAATACCCAGTAGTGCAATTGCAGGGTCACAGGGTAGCTCTAGTTTTAATTCTTTTCATGATCATGCTGTTAGCATTGTATCAAAGATCTATTTGCCTAACCTAAGGTCACAACTATTTTCTCCTATGTTTTCTTCTAGAAGTGTAGGTTTTACATTTAGGTCTGTGACCCATTTTGAGTAAGTTTTTGCATATAGTTGAAGGCAAGGGTCATCTTGCATTTATTTATTTGCATGTGAGTGTCAGTTGGTCCAGCACTGTTTATTACACTTGCTGTCGTTTCTCCGCCCTCTTGCCTGTACACATCTGTTGAAAACCAGCTGATGTTTAGGAACACAGTGTCCTCTTGACATATGTGCTCCTTTGTCATTTGAAATAATCCTTCGTTATCCCTGGTAATAGTCTTTACTCTGGAGTCTACTTTCTCTGGGATTAATCTAGCCACTCGGGCTTTCTTTTGACTGTTGTTAAGTGGTGTGTCCTTTCCATCATTTTACCTTATTTAGGTCTTTAATTTTTTTTTAATTTGTTTATTTTTTCCCACCATAGCACACACCCTCCCCCATGTCCATCCCCCAGCCACCCCATCCTTCCCCTACCCCTCCCCTTCAGCAACCCTCATTTTGTTTCCTGAGATTGAAATTCTCTTACGGTCTGTCTCCCTCTCTGCTTTTATCTTGTTTCATTTAGGATTCTCGTGAGCAGCATAAGCTGGGTCTTGCTTTTTTATCCCGTCAGGCAGTCTTTAACCAGGATGTTTCCACTGTCGCATCATATGTTTAAGTATAAATCCGCCATCTTGTTTTCTGTTTGTCCCATTGTTCTGTATTCCCTTTTACCTCTTTCTTCCTCTAAAATGGAATGTTTTTTATGGCTTTACTTTATGAAACAGCTTTACCTTACTAAAGTCTTCCCCATGAAGAGTTCTATGAAGTCTCATTGGTTTCGAGCCTGGTGGATGATGCCTAACTCGCTTGACAGTTCTCAGGGGAAATGGAAAGTTATGTGAATTTAAGCCAGAAATGTTAGTGGCTACGGACGACACTCTAAGTGTGATGCATAAGAATAACCAGTCCTGTATTCCATTTGGATCCACATTGTTTATGGCATGTCTTTCCCCAATAGTATAACTGAAAATCTCTGGGTATTGAAATAAATCAGACTGAACCCAGACCTTAACATCGCCATCTCACAGATTACTAAAGAAAAAACTTGACAGTTGATAACATACTTAATTAGTGCTTTAATTATAAAATAGGTAATCATTTAATAAGAATAAAAAGAATCTTGCTCAGTAATAAAATATTAAAGGTAAGTACTTTGTATTTCTATCTTTTTCTATTTCTATTTTAATATAAACAGTGGATCTGCACAGGGCACGTGCGTGCGTGTAATTGCTAAAGGACTGTTCATTTACTGGGCATGCCTCTCCCGGGTTCTTTTACTGAGGAAGGACTTCATGGTCAAACGTTGTTGAGATCCCCTGGACTAAAGGACTTTGACATCACCAAGAACTAAGATAAATACTTTTATAAAAAGAGACATAGGAAAAAAAATGTTAATTTTTTCCATGGGTTTGGGCTACGGGAACAGAACACCACAGACCGTGTGGTCTAGAAGCGGCAGACCCTGACTTCTCATGGTTCCGGGGGCCGGGGGTCTAAGCAGGAGGGGTCAGTGGATAAATACAAGGAACCTCACCATCCAGAGACGGTTGTCCGGATGCGGAAGTGATACATCTTTCAAAAGGAAGATGCCGTGTTTGTTTTTATCTTATGCGTTTTGTAACTTCAGCAGCCCACGTGGGCGTCTTCAGGGTACATGGAAGTGCAGAGTCATGAGAGTTAATGGGTAACAGCAGTGGTCTCAGCTCTAGGTCTGATTCTTGGTGACAGAACTAGTTTAAACACTCAGCTCATTTCGTCTTACCTTTTGTTCGGATCTGCTTTGCAGATGTACCACCGAATCCGCCATTCCGAGTGCATTTACCGGGTGACGATGGAGAAGCTGTCCTACCACAGCATCTGCACGGCGGAGGAGTGGCAGGACCTCATGCGTTTCAGCCTCCCCGTGCGCCTCTGCAAGGAGATCGAACTGTGAGGGCCCCGTCCTGTCTGTTTCTCCACTGGCAGGTTCCTCAGTTGGTTCGGCCTGGGGCGACATGGGTGCAGAAGGAGCGTCGCAAGCACCGTGTCACCTGTGCGGTGCCAGTGTGGCCGTGGTCCCTTCTCAGGGGACGCCACATCTCATGAGAGAGCGTGGATGTGAGGGCCACATCTCTTCGTCATTAAAAACAATCTCAACCCCATTTTGAAATGCATTAAATGTTAGTTTTCCTTGTACTTCGCTGCCTCCTTTACACCATCTGTATGGCACTTACTACTGAAAATGGCATCTGAAAGTTTTCATTTCCATATAATTCTTAAATTTGCGGACTGGATTTTAGAATTTAGTAATAGTGAGTGCAGCTTTCACACTTTGTTTTCTAACCCCGTGCTCATGGTTGTGAGCTCCTGCTAGTAGGACCCGTGACGGTTTGCGTGTTCATCCTCAGTGCAGGCCCGCACTATGGAACTCCACAATGAAGATCTGCAGGGATAGCCCAGAGCTCATATTTGCCTTAGAATCGGAAATATTAATTAACCAGGAGGCGGCCAGACTGTGGCCACTCTAATGCTGGAGGAGCCCACGGGAGCAAACCAAAGTCTGAGCCTGAAATGCCTCAAGGTTATGTGACAGACGCAGTGGGGACACACGGGTCAGACAGCCGGCTGGCCTGGCAGCCGTAGTGGGTCGGTGACGGCCCGTCTTTGCTCTGTGCGCACAGGTCTCTTCTGGCTCCTTCTGCAGAGCGCTCCTGGACACTATCGGTTTGGCACTGCCCTATTCAAGAGGATTTTTGCTCAGATAAACTCTTAAGAGTTTTTATTCACTTCAGCTTATCTTTGAATGGTTTATATATAGTATATATTTTGATATAATAAGAAATATATATATGTGGTCTTTGTAGCTAGTTTCTGGCTCACAGCTCCTAAAACCCTTGAATTTCCTTAGTGATTGGAATGAGAGAGATGTCTTTCTCATTCATCGTGAACCTCTTTCAACCACACTGGAGTTTATGCTGTTGCAGGACTACAGGAGGATGGCCTGCCCAAGGAAGCAGCCGTGTGGTTTGGGGGCTGTAATTTTCAGCCACCCTCAGACCGCCTGGGAGGGGACAGGGACTGGGGAGTGAGTTAATCACCAGTTGCCAGTGATTTAATCAAATGTTGCTATGCAGTGGAACCTCCAAAAACCCTAAAGAAGGGGTTCAGAGAGCTTTTAGGTTGGCGAACACGTTGGGTGCTGGGAGAATGGTGCCCCTGCAGAAGCGGTGAAAGTTCCTCACCCCTTCCTCCCACGTGGCTTGCCCTGTGTGTCTCTTCCATTTGCCTCTTGAGTTTTATCCCTAATAATCAACCAGCAAAAGTAAGTCAAGTGTTTCCCTGAGTTCTGTGAGCCATTCCAGTGCATTCTAAACCCGAGATGGGGTTGGTGGAAACCTCTGATTGATGGCCAGTGGTCAGAAGTATGGGTGGCCAGGACATGCGATTGGCATCTAGAGCTGGGGCTGGGGGAGCAGTCTCGTGGGACTGAGCCCTTAACCTGTATGGTCTGCACCGGCTGTGGGTAGTATCAGATGTAAATCAAATTGCAGTTGGTGTCTGCAGAGGGTTGGAGAATTGCTTGGTGTGGAAAACTCATACATTTGGTGTCAGAAGGCTAACTAGGGGAACATGGTTTCTTTTAATATTTTACCATTGTGTTTATTTGGGTTAAATGTTAGTAATTAAGTTAGCAAATGAAAAATAGGTGATAACATTGGATGTTTGTCTTTATGAAGTTTTTCCTTTGGACTTATATAGGAGATAGAGTAATTTTTAACTCTAAAAAAATTCTGTGTCCCGTTCCCCACCCCACCGCCTCCCCTGGGTCTATGAGTTGTGTAAAATGTGTAGGATTCATAATACAATTATTTTGTACTCTTTCATTGCTCTGATAACAACCACAACATCATTTGTTACAGATTGTTTAATAGAAAGTTAAGCAATGGCTTAAATATTGGGCTAAGTTCCTAAGGGAATGTGTGGAATTTCCTCTTGGAAACATTTAAATACAACAAAGATGTGACTGAGAAGACAGGGAAAGGGATGGCTGAACTCCCAGTGTTTTGTGTTTTTTGGTTTTTGGGGGGTTTTTTAGTTTCTTAATCGACAAAAAGTTAAATTACTTTATTTGTTCTTGTGTTTATCCTGATTATGTTTGCTAATCAACCTCGTGTTCTTTTCATTCCAGATTCCACTTTGACATTGGTCCTTTCGAAAGCATGTGGCCTGGGATTTTTGTGTACATGGTCCATCGGTCCTGTGGGACGTCCTGGTATGACCGACGTAACAACTTCCGTCTGAAGCTGTTGACTGACACGTCCTCTTCCACCCCCTGCCTAAATGCCTTGTCACTTTCTTGGTTGATAATTATCTGAAAATATGCCATATATAAATAATTTTTTCAAAATATCTAAATAAAAAAAGGCTGAGATTGTTGGACAGATTGATAGCCTTCTTGGATTCCCCCTCCAGCCTGCCAAGCTCTTTGCCAGGGTGGCTGTCCTTGGCAACCAACCATGTGTCTGCCAGGTGATGGTCAAAACACAGGTGGAAATTACCGTAGGCTGTGTAGTGGGAAAAGGTAGGGATTGTTGCTCCACAGAATCTCGTACTGTGTGAAGGTGTGTTTTGGAAAACATGCACTGAATTTAGCATCAGCTGTCAGCCTCCATAGGACAGGTGTGAAGGAAACAGGTCTCCTGATTCCACACCAAGCGCACGACTAGGGACTCGACTGTGGCTGCCTTCCCCTGTGGGTCCTTCCCCTCTCCTGTGGCCTGCCCTAGGGTCCTTTCAGGACTTTCCACATACCTTTTTACAGCTTCAGCTCACATGCTGAAAATGCAAAGAATAATTTTCATTTTCTCTTTCCCACTCATTTAATCATTAAGTTATAGAGGCTTTTAGTTGCTCTGGAACTAAATTGTCGCTCCCTTGCTATTGAGTTCTGTGTCTTCTCTTAACCTCTGTCAGTCACTTTCATAAATTGCTCCTTTGCGAGGACGTGCACGGGGTAATCAACTCCACTCATTTCCTGGATATCCTTCGGGAGTTTGACCAGTTGGAACTCTTATAATGACATACCTTATATATCAAGTACATGAAAATTTTCAGTGGGAAATAAAAAGGTTGTGTATCTTAGAAGTTTTATGAACTCTCATCTCCTTAGTATCTTAAAGAACCCGGTTTTATATTGATGTACTTTTGTTTTAAGCAGCCTTAAATTCCTCAAGAGAGCTGCTGGGACCTCAAATGAGTAGAAATAAAACAGAGTAGCAATGTCGCACACTAGAAACGTGTCCTACTGTTTTATGCCCTGTGTCAGGATTTTGGTGTAGCCATTGGCCACACTCAATAGTTTGAGTGTGCCGTGGTACTTCGGGTCCGTTTTGAAAGGATAGTCACTCATCCGGGGAATTCTCATGGTCTCCAGACAGCAGCTCATGAATCTCAGTGCACTTTTTGGAAAACATGAGCTCAAAACACCCTTGGACAGGGTGATGAAATGTTTGTTGAGCACGGTGGGATGTGGAAAATGCTTGATGGGGGGACGGTGATGCAGTGACTGCCAGGGAGCTGGTTCTGGTGTGTGCCCCCCGGGGGGCCAGTTAGTGTGTCAGATCAGAGGCTCAGCAAGAGCCTCCCCTCCCCAGCGGATGGGGAGACGGGGGTGGGGAGTGGGGCCCGGCGCGTGCGTCCCTGTGGGCTCAGACGTATGTGTTGAGGCCAGAGTTCTAGCTACAATGTACTGACTCATTCCCAGTTTCTGTCATAACACTTTCTTCTCCACACAGCTTTGAGCTTGAAAAGTTGTGTCGCTTTATTATGTCTGTGAAGAAGAACTACCGGCGGGTGCCGTACCACAACTGGAAGCACGCCGTCACGGTGGCACACTGCATGTACGCCATCCTGCAGAACAACCACGGGCTCTTCACCGACCTTGAGGTACGTGCGCACACACCTGCCCTTCCCGTTCCACGTGCCTGCGTGCATTTGCACACGCGTGTCAGAGCACCGTCCTGGGGGGGGTGAGTGACGTGGGATTCCACGGCAGGTCGGGAGCGCAGTGGAAGAAACTTGTAAAGTTGCCGGGCCTGAGGGTTTGTCATATTATTCTGAACAAGAGATGTCGATACAGAAATTCCCACTGAGGAAGCACTAGTTTAATGGTCTCTCTTCCCGTTTATGTCTTCTGGAAGTCTTCGTTAGGTAAACAAAGTCTGTCTTTCTCCTTGCGCAGTGCCCTGGGGGATGCAGGCGTATCCTGCTGAGTTGAGAACCCAGGACACTGACTCATTCAATACGGTCGAGACATAAATGTGTATTTGATGCCCTGTCCCACGAGGAAGTGGGCTCTGTGAGGCTTCCCTGACTTTCCTGACTTGGCATGCCCAGAGCTGGTAACCCTGAGCGACTGGGGCTGCCCAGTCCATCCGTGCACCGCTGCCCAGCCCTGTACTCGGTGACGCAACTGCCAGGCGCGTCACGCCCCGACATGGTCCCAGCGTCGAGTCCCCTCTCCTCTCCTCCATAAAACTGGTCTTCTGCCCCAGACCGTGCAGAGAAGGGGCTTCCTCATCCCCGAGTCAAGGAACTTGTGCTTCTCCCAAGGGCACGTTTGCACTAGAACCCAGCGCCTCTCTGGGCCAGTCCTGTACCTCTTCTCTCCCGTCAGACCAAATTCACAATCTGGGCCGGGAGCTTGGAAGGTATGTTGTGTGGCGGGGTGGGGAGTGCTATTTTAAAGAGTCAGAATGTTTCCTTCTTTCCTTAGTAATCTCTTGGTAGGGCTTAGTCAGCCAGACAACTTACAGTGTATTACCAAGGAAAGATGAAATGTGTTCTTTTTTCATATAAATTATTCTGATTTTCCATTTCATTGGATCCCATATTTCTAAGACATTCAGCACTTTTTCCATTTAGTTCCTTTTAAGGAAGGAGTCCATTGTCTTATTTGCCATAGGATAGCCTGTGACTTTGACAACCATGGAAACTATACTTCCAAATTACCTTGAAATACACATTCAAAAATGGAAAATTTCAGATAAGTGAGAAAATTTGCAGCTACAGATTAACTCATTTAAGTTCCTAATTCATCTTTAGAATGATATCATCATGTTTTCACAAGAAGTCCAGTTCTTTTGGCTAAAAATAATCCCAAAATAACATGTGTAAAAATTTAAATATATTTTTTAAAAGCGATATTTAATCTCTGATGGAGCTATTAGAAACTATCATTTTAGGGGCTCCTGGGTGGCTCAGGAGGTTAAGCGTCTGCCTTCTGCTCAGGTCATGATCTCAGGGTCCCGGGATCCAGCCCAGCATTGGGCTCCCTGCACAGCGGGGAATCTGCTTCTCTCCCTCTCCCTCTACCCACCCCCACTTGTGCTCTTTCTGTCTCTGTCTCTGTCTCTCTCTCTTTCAACTATATGAATAAAATTTTTTTGAAAAAAATTAGCATTTGATCTTGCTAAATGAGTATGTTAAAGATAATTCTTCACTTGGTAAATTATTTTCACATGCTTGATTCTGGCATACTTTTAATCGAACAGTTGAACTTTATGTCAATAAAAATAAAATAGGTAAAAAAGAGTGGAAAAATGTACATAATAGCTTTTACCTATTGTCCAAGATTTTAAAACCTTGACATTTCTGGGCACCTGGGTGGCTCAGTGGATTAAAGCCTCTGCCTTTGGCTCAGGTCATGATCTCAGAGTCCTGGGATCGAGCCCCGCATCGGGGCTCTCTGCTCAACAGGGAGCCTGTTTCCTTCTCCCTCTCTCTGCCTGCCTCTCTGCCTACTTGTGGTCTCTCTCTGTCAAATAAATAAATAAGATCTTTAAAAAACAAACAAAAGACCTTGAAATTTCTTACCAGATTCATCGTGGTTGACAACAGCAGAAAATTTGGGAACAAACCCAAAGCATACTCAGAATGTAGCTAATTCAGCTGTCCTCAGAGCCTGCAGGACAGCTCCCGTGCAAACACCAGCAGGTGATGGGTGCCAATGGTCTGGGAGGCCTTCCCGCCCAGCAGGTTTGCAGCAGAAACGAGGTCTGCTCAATGACGACCAGAAAGGAGCAGGTCGGAGGGAGGCACCCAGTTCAACTTGTGGGCCTTCCGCAGACCCCATCCTGCCTGTCGGCGTCTCCCGCTGCGGGCTCTGACTTCACACATTCACCACAACATTCGCCAGGCTCCCCTCCAGAGCCCCCCCTCTCCTCCTGACCTTGTACACTGACTCCACTCCCCAGAGGACCTGCTCTAGGGATTCACCCCTCCCCTCCTCCCTCTGTGTGTTTTCTCCCGGCACTGGCTTGTCTGTGCAGAGCGCCCTGTTGTTCCTCCATCATAACACACCCCCTTGATCTGCCTCTCCACTCGGTTCTCTCCCGACTTCTCAGTCCTCCCTTGCCACAAACCCATGGAAGAGCTGCCTTACTGGCTGGCTCCCACTCCTTTCCCCTTTTTTCTGAAACCATCTTGGACCAGGCTTCCGCCCCACCCATCCCCGAAAATGCCCTGGGCCGGGTCCCCAGTGCCTTGCACCTCGCCCACTGAGGGTCAGTGCTTGCATTTCAGCTCCTTGAGTCACTGTCTTCCCATGGCTCCAGGACCCCCAACGCTGTTGGTTTCTTCTGGTCACATAGGTTTGGGGGTTGCTTTGGGGGTTTTTTGCTATTTCTTCTTCCCTCAGACTTCTGAAAGTTGAAATACTTGAGGGCGCAGACCTCTGGACTCCTCTAACCCCGAACAGCAACTTTGGTGGGCCCAGCCAGTCTGGTGGCCCAAAACACCATATACACGGACACCCTCTTTCTCCAGCTGAGACCTGCCTCCCCCCACCACAGAAGGCTAGACTAGAATAGACCACCGTCAGCTCAGAATCTCCCCTGAAGTTCGTTAGTCTGAAACTGAACTCCTGAGCCCTTTCCTCCAACCTCCTTCACCCGCGACTGTCCCCGTGTCAGTTGATGACAGCCCTACACTTGCCAAGGTGAAGCACCTTGCGGCCGTTCTTGACTCCTGCCTTCCCTCCCTCCCCTGCTCTCCCTTTGGCTCACACTTAGACTGTACGAAAATCCTGCTGACCCTGCCTATGAAACTCACCCTGATTTAATCACGTCTTCTGAGCCCCCCAGTGCTGCCTCTGGTCTACGCTTTGCCTGAATTACGACGAAACCCTCCTCGCCAGTCTGTCTTTCCTCTTGGAGTCTGTTCTCAGTACAATTGCCCACGTGGTAATCTTTTATAAAAATGTAAGTTATATGATATCACTGCTCTGCTAAAAACCCCGTAGTCCTTCCCTGGTTCCCACAGAAAATAAGACCTCAAAGATTGTCAGCTCCTCTTTCTGCCATTCTTGTCTGTCCTCTGCCCACAGCCCCCGCCGCCCTCTGAGCCCCTCTAATCCCGTGGGGGAGGCTTACCCTGGAGCCGGTGCCGCCTCTCCCACCGCTTTTCTCCTTCATCTTCTGCGGCCCACCCCACTTGCTGTAACACTTCACCTGCTCCCACCTGCTCTGCTTTTGCTCTTTCTCTGTGCAATTGTGCCGTTTTGTCACAAGCTATGTGACTTACTGTTTTAGTCCTCATTTCTCTGTAGTGGCAACCGCATTGTTGAAACTTAACACTGAATGGATTTTTGAATGAAGGGCAGTAACTGTCCTTTCCTTGTGCAGATTCGCTTTCTCTAATTCTTGGGGACATTTGCGTTAATTTGATACCATCTGTACTTTTCCCCAAAGTTGAGCCAGAAAAGTCAAGAATAATTCCGTTGTCAAGTTCATAAGCCAGAAAAACAAAGAAAGAGGTTTAAGACGAAGCTAGATTACCTGGAATTTCAGACCTTCCTAAGGATGCGGGCTGTTGTGAGGACAGGAGCCAGTCCATGCGATCGGCGGGAGAAGCCAAGATCGCGTCACACCCACTGCTTGGTTTTGAACATCTGCACTGTGTCATTTTTTCTTGAAGCGCAAAGGACTGCTGATCGCGTGCCTGTGTCATGACCTGGACCACAGGGGTTTCAGCAACAGCTACCTGCAGAAGTTCGACCACCCCCTGGCCGCGCTCTACTCCACGTCCACCATGGAGCAGCACCACTTCTCCCAGACCGTGTCCATCCTCCAGGTGAGCGCTCCCCGCCCTCCCCGCCCCGGACAGCCTCTAATGGCCTGTGCAGAAGGAGGGGTGTTGGGCGGCCTCCTGCCAGCAGCGGCTGCATATTATGGCAGAACCTTGTATGTACAGTCGCCGTTAGATAGTCGTGGGGTTTTCGGATGATGCCTCCTCGGTGGAGATTTTGAACATATATGTGTATATATATATATATTTTGCTTTGACTTTTAAGTACATGATACTCTTAAGGGAAAGCTTATTTTACATACTAAATCATAAATTTATATGGATTTTCATATTCTTAAACCCAACGTATTGAACAACAAATCTTCAGAGTTAGGCAAATCAAGTTTTAAGTGCACTGAAGTCCTTTTAGTTTCCTTGTTTGTTCGTGGTGCTTGATCTAGACATGGGCAGCCGTCACTTCACTGGCTGGTATACACGCTCTGTTTTCACCCTAGACATTCGTCCTCAAGGTCACCTTCACGAGGTGCCTCCGACCTCATGCTGGCTGGACCCCTCTCCTGGATGGTCTCTTAAATGTGCTTTGACTTCAGGGGGGCGGACTCTGTGTTCTCGTCGCACTGTCAGCGCCAGAGTAGGAAGCACAGTCCCAGTAGGTCGTCCGGGGACGGCCGTGGGCTCTGCGGGATACATGTGTATAGACGGGTGTGACACAGCCCAGAGGCACCTGCAGCGGGACCGGCCGAGGGCGGGCTGCGGTGCGGGGGCCGTTTGCCTCCTGGCGCCGTCCCCGTCCCCGTGCGGCCGGGCTGCGGTTTGCTCTCCCCAGCTTCCCCGACCAGCCTTGTTTATCATCTGTGTCTGAACCGTCCAGGTGGGCAGGTAGTGCTCCTAGCCCAGACCTTCTCAGAACGCAGCAAAACGTGCCTGTGTGGGTCCTGTTTCCTCAGGACCGAGAAGGTAAACGATGGCCTCACTGAAGTGAGACTCCGGGTACCTGCTGGTGACTGAGGGGTCCGCGGGGGCTGCTGCAGGCACCTGCGGGCTGTATCCGATGGCTGGCGGGCTGTTCCACTCGTCCGCAGCTGGTCCTCGCCCTGAGAGCCGCAGGCAGTCGCGCTCCCAGTGTCCCTCAGCACCGTCCTGCCTTCATTAACGCGACAGATGTCTGTACGGACGGGTAGATACGGACATACCTACCGACCTCGTAATTTAAGCAGGATAAAAGATGTGTGTGAGTACGCACATATCTGTGCCTGCGTGTGCGTGTGTGTGTATAGAAACGTGCCTTTTGTAGATGACAGGCATCCTAGAACTTCACGACGGTTTTTGCGTATACTCTGATCTTACGTCAGGATGCCTTCATTTAGAGATAATTCAGACTCACTGCCTTAGCCTCCCATGTCCTAATTCACACATTTGCCTACGGCAATATTATAGTAATGTAATCTGCAAATAATTGTAATAGCCTTTATAAGGTTTCTTTGAAAAACCTATTTTAAACATAATGGGATTCGTTCTGAAATAGGGATTGCACAAAGTACACTGCTGCTGGGTAGAATAAAAAATTAGGCCCCGTGACATAGCAGTGATTAAACCATGGAGGCACGGAGAGGCCTGGACCCACCCCAGTGCTGGGAGACTTGCCCCATTTGCTGCCCTCCACAGTGGGGATTCGGAAGGGTCTGTCTCATTTTGTGCAAGCCCTCAGCAGCGTGGGGGCTCCACAGGACATAACACAGAGTTCCTAGAATGATCAGAACACGGAAGGCAGCACCCAGGGCAGTAACTTCAGCTCAGGCAACCTATTGGTGAGAAGGTGTTGAAGAATCATTAGGTTCCAAGGGTTGGAGATGGGGTTTCCATTGATGGGGAGGCCACAGGAAGGGCGAATCTGTTCTCCATTTCTAGGAAGATCATTACTCAGCGTGCTTACAGTCTTCCTCAGGATCACAAGAAGGAGGAGCTGGAAAGAAGCACGGGTCATTGCCATAGATCCAGGAGAAAAGGCTACCCTTTAAAAACCGAATCCATATGCTGAACTGACCTAAAGCCTCCTGTGTGAGTCGGGACAGGGAGAGATGTGTCAGGATCGTAAACAGATGGCCCATCACCGTGACAGGAGGATTCAGGAAAGGTTTCCTTCTTCTGGAAACTGCTGTGCTCTCTGCTGGTTTGACATCTGTGCTCATGATCCTTCTTGGAGTATTTCTTCTCAGATCCATCTCGAACTGCCTCTTGAATTTCATTTTAGTAGCAAACATTAATGAGCTCCTCCCAGCTGCCAACACCCATTTTAGGCCCAGGGGCTGTAGTAGCAGCAGAGCCCGATCCCTGCCGTCGCGCTGCTCATCTCGGTGCTCCGCCAGGTTGCTCTCTGGAGTCCTTCTGGTCACCGTTGTGGCTCTCACACCTGTGTCTCAGCCTAGGGCACAGGGGTCTTCTGTTTCCAAACACCTGAACTCCGCGTTCAGTGTGACCAGAACTTGCTTATTATCCTACATCTCCTCTGGGGTGGCCTCCATCTCCCAGCCATCACGGGGGCATGACCTTAGAGTCATTGTTCCCCACCCCCACATCCAGGTGTCAAGGCCTGCTGATTTTAGCTTTAACAAGACAACTCCAGGGGCCCCTGGGTGGCTCAGTTGTTGGGCATCTGCCTTTGGCTCAGGTCATGATCCCAAGGTCCTGGGCTCCCTTCAGTGGGAAGCCTGCTTCTCTTCCACTCCCCCTGCTTGTGTCCCCTCTCTTGCTGTCTCTGTCTCTGTCAAATAAATAGATAAAATCTTTGCGGGGGGGGGGAAGAGACAACTCCAGACTTGACCAATTTAAGGTGATAGTCTAGAGTAATAGTAAAAATTCCAACCTCCAGTCACTAAAATGAGTATTGTTACAGCACAGAGATGCCTCTGACAGCTGTGTACCTGCAGTGTTCACCGTCAGGAAGGATTTGGCCTGTTGCTTCCCGATCTCTGCAGATCTTTGTCAGCGTGGCTGCGGCTGATTGTGGACCGGAGCTGTCCGTCCTCTGGCGACACGGCCCAGTGCAAGATGAATGGTTTGGTGTATATGGTTGGAGACGCCTCCCCATCAGGCCTTCCTCAGGCTGTGTGTGTGTGTGTGTGTGTGTGTGTGTGTGTGTGTGTGTGTGTGTGTGTGTGAGAGAGAGAGAGAGAGAGAGAGAGAGAGAGTTTATCAGTTTTGTTAACCCCAGTGCGGACGGAGTGTGGCTGCTACTGTTACTGGATACTCTGGGCAACCAGAGGGAGTGTAGTCGCACCCCTGGCTGACCACAGCCACATCAGTAAGCAGACTGAACAGAAAATACATCTAAAAAGCTAGTATCAGTCTAACCCACAAACACATCATCACTTACAGAAAGAAGGAGGCGTGTGTATTCGGTCCTGGCTTGCCTTCACTCTTGTCTCAGTGAGAGAGACGCAGTGGGCCGTCCCTTCTGCGTGGGCCGTGGAGGAGGTTGAGTTGTGGATGAAGTCAGCGCAGTGTTCTCGTTTTTGCTGAGCGGCCCATTACCTCTTAACATCAGGCCGTCAGGACTGGTTTCCTGGTGATCGGGGCCCTTGGTGTTCCAGACAGTGGGGGCTCCCACCACCTGCTGAGCCGGCCCTTCAGACTCCTGCAGCCTCCTGTGCGTCCACCAGCGACCTTGCTTCTCTGACATCCGGCATTCAGCCTTCGTCATCTGTCATCTACCTTTATTCCCTCACCGAACACCATTTCTCCAAGCTTGCCTCTCTCACACCCATCTTCCAGACACGTCTGATCATGTTATTCTCCTACTTAAAAGTCATCAGTGGGTCCTGGGGGGTCAAGAATAAATTCCATCTTTTAAAAAATTTATTTATTTATTCAGGAAAAAGAATAACATAAGCAAGGGAGCGGCAGAGGGAGAAGCAGGCTCCCCGCTGAGCAGGGAGCCCGATGTGGGGCTCGATCCCAGAACCCTAGGATCATGACCTGAGCCAAAGGCAGATGCTTAACCAACTGAGCCACCCAGGCACCTCAATAAATTCCATTTCTCGACTGATATTCAGGCTTTTAGTGAATGGCCCATGGGTGGCCTAGGAGCACAGTATCTACTGTACTTCTCAGTTGCACACAGTTCTTACTTCTGCGTCATTGCCTGCATCCTCACTTGTAATTCTCCACTGTCTTTTTGAGGCAGCTTCTTATCTCCAAGGCTCAGCTCAGCCCAGTAATACCACCTCCAGTAGAATTATTTCATGACTTCCCGACACGGTTGGAGCACAGCCATGTGCCGCTTTACATGGCCTCTGAGCCGGCAAGCAGACGCATATCATAGTTTTTTTCCACATCATATTGAAATTTTCTGTTGGCGAGCTTAGCTTGTCACTACTCTGAATTATAAGCCCAGTGAGGACAGTCACTGCAGACCACTGGTCCCTGTCCCTGCCCACCCATCACTGGGTCTCCTGCCGTGGATGGCAGTGGTCACATGAAGGTATGAAATATGGGTGTAAGAGTTCAGGGGACACAGAACAGTGAGTGCAAGTCAGAGATGGAAAGTCGCCGAGTTTTATTCAATGGAGAGGGCGTCAGTGAGTCTCCTTGGGACAAAGCGTGGGTCAGTACTGAAACAAAAACTGCATGCCTTCAAGTAAGGAGACGATTTTGTGTGGACAGTCACATTCAGGAAGGCACGTGAGCTTGTTTGCTGACCCGCATGTTTCCGTAATTGTGGTAGAACCGTTGCTGTTGGAATATTAAATCGCTCATTCTCTTGCCTCATGAGATGTCACCAAGCGCTCTGAATATCGCAGCCACCCTTCTTCCATGTTTAGCCTTCTGTGACTCTCCCATGTGAAGTACTCACAAGTCACAATTTAAAAAAACAGACCAATTAGGAATAATCTTTCTTGTTATGAAGAAAATGTTCTCAATATTCCATCAATCTTGAATTGTCTGGTACTTTTGAAATATGTTTAGATGTTAAGAGAATTGTCTTTACACCAGCATTGTGGGACCCTGCGACACTTTCATTACTTCTTAGAGCTGCTGACAAGCCACTGTTCCCGCCTGTCTGCACGAAGCAGTGTTTACTGCACGTTGTTACGTTGTAACTTCTCTCCCACACTGCCTTTATTAATAAGCTAAAATGTATCACACAGAGGCTAGCTTGAACCTGTCCTTTTCTGCAGATGTGTTCTGAAGGGATAGAGGTGATCTTTAACTACATATTTCTCCTTGGACATATGTGTGTTATTTGTTTGTTCGATTTTCCTTTCTGTCCTTTAGCTCTGGCTGCAGAAGTCATACTGGTAAATTTTGTCCTCCTCGTCACAACCATCATCATAGTAATCATTTCATCATTTATTAGGTACTCATTATAAATATTGTAGTACTTTTGACTTAATACTTACTATAAATGAGAAACATAAGAATTTTGCACATATTAACACATTGGTTTTTATAATGTTCTGTGAGGTAAGTATCAGTTTATTTCCATTTTCAATAAGATGATGTGCATCAAAGAGATTAAGTACCTTGTCCATTGTCATAGAGTAAGTGACCGAACAGGATTAAAAACTAGAATTGTTTGACTCCAAACCCTTAGTTCTTAATTCCAGTACCACTGCGCTTCCTAGCCTGTGATTGGATGCAGCAGGTGATTAAGTATCCGAATAAGTACCACACCATTGCTGTTGTGAATGCTCGATGCAATTGACTACTGTTATCTCAGGTCCCCTGAATAATTTGGCCCATGCCTGTGGCTTCCTGTGGGTGACTTACACCCACCCGAGTGAGCTTAGGCTGGTTGGCATGCGGGTGTTGAAATCTGGGCTCCAAGGCCTTTCCTTACGCATCTCTTTCATAGAGCTGAGCAGCATGGGGCTTTGGAAAGAATTATTTATGATTAATAATATTTTAAAAGTTTGCTAAGGAAATACGGGCAGTTTGTCCTTCTGCTTCAGTCCTAACCTCCCTGCAGCCCATGTTACGTTGTTGCTGGAGTGACTGTCCCTCGTTACCTTCCAGAGACCATTCCAGTTTTGACACCAGGCCTATGAACTCTCTCACCGTGTGACCATTTCTCCACGGGGACGATGTGCTTGAGCCGTACTGAAATGTTGTGGCTCCCGCTGAGCCCACGTGGTCTCTTGTGGCCCCTCCTTGCCCTGCAGAATCCACGGCCCTGCCCGTGCTCTTCTGGAGCCCTTCACTGAGCTCATCCCGGAGACCGCTGCGTGCGTTCTGTCATGCGCTTCTACACTCCCCCCTCTAAGCTGTGGACCCTCCCCGGGCACTCCCGTGGTTGGGGCCGTGCGCAGAGTAGCTCCCGTCCTCCGAACATCCTCGCACAAAGTGAAACGTTCACACTGAATAGCTGCTCGGTCAGTAAAGACCCACGTTCTTCACCTCGCAATGGGTAAGACACAGGCAGACGCACTGCAGCAGTGCAGTGGCCGGCTGAGAACCCACGGGCTTGCCTTGTCTAAGCGCTGGAGGGCCCGACAGACCACCCACCCAGGGAGTGGGTCGCTGGGGGCTCCCAGCACGGGGCTGATCCCAGTGTCACGTGTGTTCTCCGGTAGCTCCCAGACCTCAGCCGCTTAGAGCATGCGGCAGAGCCCACAGACGCTCGCACAGGCCTGAGGACTGTATGCAGTTCACCCATCTTTGGATTTTAGGAACGTTTCCCCATGTAAAATTCGGGTTAGTTTATGCCTGATTGATACAGAATGGGATGACCTGCCTTGACGTAACAAACTTCAAGCACTATGACCTGGGACATGAACTATAATAAACTCACCAGCTGGTAGATAAAAGTCTTATATTATGAGGTTTCCGTAATGTGAAATTGGAGATTTTTAAAGATTCTAAGCTATTTCTCTGCTGTGGTTGGTTGCTCTATCTCCCTTATTTTCCTCTGGTAGGAGCTGAAAGACACGCACTTCATGCACTTGAAGACACAGTTCGTGTGCTCATTTGCTGCCTTTAGCCCTTGCAGAGTATCGTGGGAGGCAGTAGAGGGCTCCTGGTGTGACCTTCTCTTATGAAGGTTCTCTGCTGAACTCTGCCTTGTGGCCTTTAATATCGAAAAGTACCTGAAATCAGTGCTGCACTGTATGTTGACTAACTAGAATTTAAATAAAAAATTTTTTAAAAAGAAAACTAATAAAAGAAATATTAAATCCAAAGTGACCAACACCATATACAGATCCTTTAACATGGGTCTCCATTTGCCATAGATCATGGATACTTCTGAGAATCTGATAAAATAATGTGCTTATGGATGACACAGTCAACACATATTTTATAGATAGATGATAGATAGATGATAGGTGATAGATAGATGATAGATGATCGATAGATGATAGATAGATAGATGCAGTGAGTTTATAACTCTGTGGTCCCAGAGGGAATTCTAGAACCCAGGCCAAGAAGTTCCTATTTAGAGAGATTTTTAAAATTTTTTCAACAGTATGATAGAATATTTTACACACTGTAATTTACTGGTGTATTAGTGATAGAATAAAGCATAAAAACATGTGTCACATGTGATAGCTCTGCAGACAACCCGCCCGGAGCCGATGTGTGCGGGAGCACCCACAAGACTTGCCTGTGTGAAACGCGTTCATGATTTGGGAGCGCAGGTGACGAGGCGTTAAGCATTGAAACAGGGACTGCCACGTTACTTGAGTTAGGATCAAATGAAAGCAAAGCAGATTACATAGCAGGAGTCAGAGGAAAAAAGTTATTTTCTTTTATCTTCCTGCACTAAAATTTTGGAGAGTTGATTTCAGCCACCTCCCCAGAGCTTGAGTCCCCTCCCTTGTCCCCTCAGTTACGAACCGGCCTGTGCCTGAAGCCTCCACCCACAGCGCGTCCTGCGTCGTCCCCGTTCTGTCCCCAGGGTAGCTGAGTGTCAGGGCTGCTTCCGTGTGTTGAGCTTAAGTCTGTCATCACGTCTATACCCTCTGGCCCCCGTCGTCGTCGCCACGAAAGCTGCTCCCGATGAGATTATGTTACTAAAAATGACCAGTTTCTGTAAGCACTGCAGCTGCTCTTCAAAGAAAAATATTGTTGATGCTCCAGCAAATAACTTCATTTCAATTAGACATCAAAGAGTTATTTAAATTTTTTAATTTGAAAGTGAAATCATGTGTTTGAAAATGTTTTGTCAATTTAGAGCATCCTACAAACGTAAGGCCTTCCTGTTATTACTGTCAGGAAAATAACCAACTAGAACCAACGCCATGTGCTGTATTTATCATAGGATAACTTAAATATTTATAAAACCTTAAGAGTAGGTAATAAAGATTCTGATGATTGAAAATGGCACATGAACAACCTTTTCAGAGTAATAGGAAGGAGGTAGTGTCCTAGTGAGATGTCTGATTTTTTAACATGTATTTTAATAATTTCAAGTTTTTAATGCATTTTGTCAGTCAATAAATATAAATTAGAGCAAGTGAAAATCAATTAGAGTACAGCTATGCTGACATTATAATAATGAATAATTTTACAGTAATTGAAGAGCCCACAAATGGAGTGCCACTTTATTATTTCAGTCTTTTTTGTTTGAACAAAAACAACCCATGTTTATCTCAGTTACAAATAAAAGCGTAAGATTCTCAGTAACTGTAAAAAGTTCTTAACAGATTCATATGCGAAAGAATAATTCTGAAGAGACAGAGTCCAAATGCCCCGTGCTCTGGTCTTGTCCAGGTGATGGTCTGCCGCCCCCGTCCCGTGAGGGCAGAAGAAGAGAGGATGGCCCTAGAGGGTTGCACCTCAGCGGTTTGTGTTTTATGGGAGAGGGTGGTTACCTATGGGGAGAGATTTTAATATGCCTGACTAAGCCTTATTTTGAGGTCACGGGACATTTTCTTCGGTGCTATTGAGAAAGCAGTTTACTCTTCATCCGACTTGCTGAAGTGGACAAAGATATCCATGATTTTCTTAATCCATCGATTTCCAGTCTCATATGAAAATTGCTAAAGTTTTAAATTAGTTTAAAAAGAAATGTCTTAAATATTTTAACACTTTCTAGTTCTTGAATTGCTTCCTGGAAATACCCAAACCTAGCTGCGCTCTTCAGTAACTGGGGTTCTGTGGCAGCAGGTGATGTCGCCGTGGCAGACCATCAGGGAAGGGAAGCTCCACTGTTGCAGCTTAAAGAGAAGCTGCCACGTTGGTTTCCATTAATCATTGCAAACTCTTCTTCTGTGTCCCCCAAACCTGTCACTGGTGGGCCAGATGCCATTGACTGTATTGTTTGAGTACCTGCAAATGTCGGAAGATTAGAGCCTCTGCTTGTTATTGGTGGTGTTTATTTGTGTTTTTTCCGTAGTTGGAAGGGCACAATATCTTCTCCACCCTGAGCTCCAGTGAATATGAACAGGTGCTTGAGATCATCCGCAAAGCCATCATTGCCACAGACCTTGCTCTGTACTTTGGAAACAGGAAACAGTTGGAAGAGATGTACCAGACCGGATCGCTAAACCTTAATAATCAATCACATAGGTAAAGATCCTTTTTAAAAGTTTAGAAGCCTAGGAAGTATTATCTGGAATAAACGTATACTTAAAAACAGAAATGTAGTTTAGCATAAATTTATATTTGGAAGAAGGAATGTAAAAATATTTATGTGTTTTCTTTTTGTTTTACATGTATTTTATATTCGTTTTGCATATTTCTTTATTTGACAAAATTACGGAGACTGAATTGTGGGGATATATTAAAATATGAATTGCAATTTAAACTGCTCACACAGGAATGGGTACTTTTTTTTTTAAGATTTTATTTATTCATTTGAGAGAGAGACACACACACACACACACACACAACAGAGCAGCAGGCGGAGGGAGAGGGAGAAGCAGGCTTCCTGCTGAGCAGGGAGCCTGACATGGGGCTCGATCTCAGGACCTGGAGATCATGTGACCTGAGCTGAAGGTAGACTCTTAACCATCTGAGCCCCTCAGGCGCCCCAGGAATGGGTACTTTTAAAGAGAGGTCACTTTACAGGAGAGGTCAGGCCTCTCCCTGAATTCAGTTCAGTTCAGTCCAGGCTTTGGTCATTAGCTTCAAGGACTCAAAAGCAAATAAAAATGGATTCATTTTTCAGAATCTGGATCTTACTGACCAAGCTAACATGATTGATGGATAAAATTGGAATTCCATTTTATTCATCTACAAACGTATGTTCTGGTTACAAGCATCAGAAAATTGGCATTCAGTGTGGTCAGATCATTTAGGAAAACAAGGGACAGTCAAAAGTTGGCTTCGTGGGCATGGCATCAGAACACGGAGAATTAGATTACTTTCAACGTTCCAATGGATCAGGCTAAATTCACCTGGTTTGTCTTTCCTGAGCCGGCATGTTGTGCCTAACGAACTCAGAGCTGTACTGGGTGTGTTCACTGTGAAGCTGTCCACCATCTGTGTGTTCCATCTCAGTCCGCTGGCTAACTTGCCCGCTCTGCTTGTCAGTCTATAGGTGTGACCACCAGCTAGGACTGAGCACTAGGACTTTCCCTTTGCTGTTCCCACGTCTGACCAAGTTCATCTTAAGTGATGCCATCTTTACGTTGAGATTTGTGGACATTTGTTTACTGGTCTCTTCTAGTCTCGCTGAACTTGGGTCGATAGTCTCTTGTTTGGGTGCTTTGCATTCTTCCTCCATGATCCATTAAGTACTGATCGTAACATTTCTTTTTAGGAGAGTCTGTTTTAAAGTTTTTAGAAGCAATCCACTGAGGTAACACATGCACAAAACCTTAGATTTACAAGTGACTATAGATATGTAATAAAGTTTGCCTCTTCAGGAATATTACATGCATATAATATAATGATATCCATTCCTTTGGTTAAACTACCATTTTGTGTGATTATTTTACATCAAAACACGGGCAGGTCCAGATTTTGCAGAGCCTGAAACTTACACAGTTTTGGGAACCCTATTTAAGGAAAACAAAGAAACCTTATTTTTACCTAGGGCAGTCTGCACACATTGCCAGGGCCTCCCAGGATCATGGAAGGGGTCAGCGTCATGAGGGGCCACAAAGGTTCTTCCCAACACATCTTCCTCCGCCTGCAGCCCAAGGATGCTCAGGACTCACAACCATCGTGTGTTTCTGCCTGTGACAGATTTTGTGGTGTTCTTGTTTACAGTTCTCTTTATGATGGCAGTTATAAGATCGGGAAAATATACCCTGGATGAAAGTAGCCTTTGGCTTGCTGAAACCCATGTGCATACTTTTTTTTTAAGATTTTATTTATTTATTTGACAGAGAGAGAGAGATCACAAGTAGGCAGGAGAGGCAGGCAGAGAGAGGGGGAAGCAGGCTCCCCGCTGAGCAGAGAGCCCGATGCGGGGCTCGATCCCAGGACCCTGAGATCATGACCTGAGCCGAAGGCAGCGGCTTTAACCCACTGAGCCACCCAGGCGCCCATTTTTTTTTTCAAGGTTATAAGTAAGAGTCATGTAATTAGTATCAAGTCTCTTACATATTGTTTTTAGCAAAATGATTATAATAATAATTTTAAAATAGAGAATTTAAGAATAATTACAAATAATATATTTGGTGCTTAATGGGTATGTGTGTGTGTTAGTGGTGTATGCTGTAATAATAACAGTTAATAATTTTAAAGGTAATGCATGTTTGTCTTAATTCAAAGAGTGCAGAAGTATATATAAGAAGAATATTCTGTTATTCTGCACTCCATGCCCGCAATCTGTTGGGTATAATATCATCCCACGCACTTTCCTGTGTTTATTCAAAGTTCTGTGTTGGGGGGTCTCTGTGTGTGTACACTATATATATATACACACAAATATACTGTCCTCTTCTTTTTTTTTTTTTTTAATAAAAATGTGATTATACCAGATGCATTCCTTTTTGTAAGGGTTATATAACATCTTGCATGGAATACTATATACCCCATACTATATAAAAGCTTGTTAAACCTGTCCCTGATGGTAAGATATTTCTAGAATTCCAGAGTATAGATAAATCTGCGGTGAACTTACTTATTTAGTCTTACCTGCTGGTCCTCTAAGAATATGTTTTGTGTAGTGTGTGATGCTAGAAATTTATTAACGTATAAGCATCGTAAATTTTCTAGAAGGGTTGTGGAGGTTCACAGTCCTCCGAACATGTGGGTGGAAATCGTTGCTCATTGAATGTGGCATTTTCCGGGCGCTCCGTGCACTACAGATTGCTTCGTGCTTCTTGGCTGTTTATGGTTCCCGCTTCTATGTATGTGTCTGTTCAGAGCTTTTGAGTATTTTTTGTTGAATTGTTTACTTTTTTTATGAATCAGTTTGCATTATATATTTTATTAAGGGTACTAAAAGTTTCTCTGTTGTATGTTACAAATATTTTCTTCAGGCGACTTTCAAAAACTTTATTCAGATTTTCTTTTGACTGTAAAGAAATTGAATTTCATGAGGTCAAATCTCTCATTTGTTTTTATCAAATCTGGTTTCCTGGCTTGCTTAAGATGACCTCCCCTGTCGTCACAGGAGTATAAATAGTACTTAAAATTCATTTTGTATATTTTTATGCCGCTTCCAGTCGGCGACGGGAGGAGAATTAGGCACAAACAAGTCAGCTGCAAGAGGTGGGGAGCAGGGGACGACCGTCGAAAAGACGGCTGCTCCGAGCAACCCCACAGTCTCACTTTTATTGGATAGAAACAATGGCCAACAGAAGGACCGATGAAGGTCAAACGTTAGTCACGTCTCGCGGACAAGCAAAGAGGAGGATAAAGCTCATAGTTAACCAAGCACATTCAAAGGACTCATCTAGCTAACAACCCGCGCTTCTGGGAAGAGAAAGGAGCGATCACGGAGAAGGGAAAGCCGCCGGTTTTCGTTCCACCCTGAGCTGACCCGGCGTTCCCGGGTGCTCGGCTTCCCTGAAGCAGGCGGCGTTCTGCCCTGGGCGGGCCGGGCGTCCCCAGCTGCCCAGCTTCACGGTCGTGTATCGTCCTTCTCCCCAAAGACCTGTTGCCAGTGTATGTATTTCTTAAGGCATATCTAAATGTGCTTGGCAACCAGTAAAATCCTCCAGGGGTTATAGTTTAAGTAACAAATTGTTCCGAGGGGCAGTAGCATTTTTATAGTTTTGATTTTCATAGTTAGAGCTTAGTTCTTCTGGATTTATGTCTTTTATTTATTCCTGGTGGGTTAAATCAATGCCATTTAATTAATAACCCATTTTTTCCACTGCTTGAAGTTTCATAGAAATTAAATAATTGTTTGGATTCCTTAAGCCATTTAAATGCTAATTAACTAATCCTCGACTGTGTGCATACTGTTTTGATTACTGTAACTGTGTTGAAATTTATCATACATACCTGGTAAGATATCTTCATCTTTCATTTACCTTCTACAAATTTTATGGAAATTGTTACTTAATAAATGCATTTTTAAATATTTTTATTAAAATTTTTCAAACTTGCCAAAAAGTATAGATTATATTGAGATGTACAACTTATACCCACTACATGCATTCAACAATTGTTAACATCTTACCATACGTTTCTTTCTTTTTTCAATGTCCACCTTGAATGTAAGTTATAGACATCATGACTTTTCTCCCCCTCATCATGAACACTTAAAAAGACAAACATATTCTGCTATCAGTTAACAGCCACATGGCACTTTGATCGCAGCTACGTTCATTCTTCACTTGAAAATGGAAGTGTACTGTCTTCAAAGACATTGGCACGAGGCTTTAATCCTGACAGCATTTTACTGTTTGTCTACACAGGTCCTATCATTTTCTTGGTAAAGTCATATGGTTGTTTTACAGATTTTAATCACTTGTAAATGTATTTTTCCCCATTTTTAACTGGAAATACAGCTTCCAGTATAAATAAAGTCATGAATTTCTACATACTTCTCCATTTTGCTTCATGTGTTTAGAAACTTTATTAGGTGCTTACACATTTATATTTGTTATGTTCTCTCCATGATTTACCATCTTATCAATGTGAAATTAATTCTCTTTTTTTGTCTGTAATGCTTCTTGCTTTAAAGTTTTCTGTGTTAATAGCCACACCCGCTTCCTTATGCTCATGTCCCGTTGTCTCTGTCTGTGTCTTCATATGTAGTACGGGTCTTAGTCCCAGCAGTAGTTGAGACCTGAAGTCACCGATTTCCTGACGGACTAGTCATTCTTCTTGCATTTAATGTTACTATATGTGATTGGTGATTTATTATCTTACTTGTGTTCTCTTGAACCCCTGTTCTCTGTCCCTCCTCTCCTTCCTTCATCTGTGCTAACTCAGTGTTTCCTTCAGCACTTGGTTCTGTCTCTTCTACTATCTTTCGTTGTTGTGTCTCTTTATATTTTAGGTGGTTACTCTTGAGTTTACAGTCTTCATTTTTAACAGTTGCTTTAAATTAATACCGTTCCATTTCCATACAACGTAAAACCTTAAAAATAATCCATTTATACCCCCTTTTTGTCTGCTATGCCCTCGTTAAGTATGATACTGATACATTTGTTCTGTAT